AGAAATCCTTTGCGTTTTTTTCTTCTTTCACAGATTGGATTTTTCTGTGCAGTGATGGCTCGATTATCCTGTAGTCATAAATTTTACAGCATAAAGTCTCACATATGGAGTGAATACAGTTTTACTGGCATAAAATGTGCATCATGGCCCTTCTTTGCCATTTAGAATTGTCTGTAATCAGATGGTGTAAGTATGTTTTTAGGCAGCAAAACAGCAAGAGAGGATGGGGTTAAAGAAGGATGAGGACATTAGGAGATTAAAGAAGAAAAGAGTGGGAGGGTAAAGCAACGAAGGGTGGGATAAGAGGAGAAGAGGAACCCACTGCATTGGATCCAGAGTGAACTGATTGATTTCAGTGTATTAAAAGCTAAGATGGGGGTCATCCCAGCAGCAATGGTTTTAACAGAGATGAAACAGCTGTTAAACACCCTTCATTAATTATCTTCCCCTCTGATTGGATTTAAGTCTTTGCTCCTTATCAGCAAAACAGCACTTAAAATCTATTTAGTCATTTCACTTGCTTTGACCTTCCGTCTCCTCTCCTCCGCTCACTGTCTCACTCTGTCTCTCTCGTGTCCACTCTGCTTGACTCAATGGCTGATCACTCACTCACTCACTCACTCACTCACTCACTCGTTTGGTTCCCCCTCTCTTTTTCTGCATAGCCCTTAAACTACTCTCGTCCTACTGTGCTACATTGACAGTTTCAGCTTGCAGCCAGCACTTCATGACTCATTTATGTTGCGCACAGACACACATGTACATGCAGGACATGCTGGTTTTAGTTATGCAATAAACAGTCTGTGTCAGCAGCGGTGTGGGAATGAATGTAATTGTGGTATTTTTTTCTCTCTCCAGTGTGCTATTTGTATTAAGTGGTGCAGCAGATTATAATTAGATTATTTTCCCTATCGATAAATCTCTGGTATGATCTGTTTTGTGTTTTTGTTTTTTTTTCCATTTGATTGATCTGTGATAGGTGGAAAACGACCCTCATCATTTCCCAGGGCCTACGGTGATTTTGGTCGAATTGCTTGTTTTGTTCAGTCCACAGTCCAAAACCTAAAAGTGCATCATATACACTTCATGTACAACAGCGTTTTTCCTCCGTAAAAGGCTTAAATGAATAATTTTCTGTCAGGTGATTCACTAATAAATCTATAAATTGTTTGATCACTAAGTCTTATCCTTTTGGTGCATATTCCAACTACATCTTTGTTTTCCAAAGTTACATTTAAAGGAATAGGTGGACATTTTGGGATCTGTGCTTGTTCACTGTCTTGCCAAGAGTTAGACGAGAATGTGGATTCCACATGTCTGTCCTTTTTTAATTATGAACCTATACCCTGGAGTTGGTTAGCTTTAGTTTAAGGATTTTTCCCAGCACACCCCATAAAACTACAATTTGCTTTTAAAGTGTGGTGCAGTTTTTATAATGATTAAACAAATGATGTGTTAATTAATGAACTTGATAGCTGCTGGTAGTAGAATTTGGTTACCTTTTAGAGAGAGCAAGACTAGCGGTTTCCATTCTTCATGCTAATCTAAGCTAATCATCTCCTGACTGTAGCTTCAATAGTTACATTTCCAGCAAGATGAATCAAGCATACCTCAGTGTGGTCAAACAGCTGAAGTATTTGTAGCTATAACATTTTTGATGCTGTGTTTTGCCATCAAGAGCAGGGTTCGCACCAAAATATCATATTAGAGAAACAGATGTGAAATAATGTGATGAGTGGGTGTAATAGATTGTGAATGCACCCCAGGACACGATGGATGAATAAAAGTATTTTTGGTGGGGGTACATTTCCTGTCGCTGAGTGCTGCCACTGCTAAATGAGTGCAGATGAAGCATTGCTCTGTATTTGCTTCAGTTCCTACAGAGATTCAGTATAACTGTAGGCCAGCTTCTGTGTTGTTTAGGAGGGAGAAAAGCCGTTGCCATTCTCAACCAAAGCTTGGCACTGCTCTGTGTGTGTGTGTGTGTGTGTGTGTGTGTGTGTGTGTGTGTGTGTGTGTGTGTGTGTGTGTGTGTGTGTGTGTGTGTGTGTGTGTGTGTGTGTGTGTGTGTGTGTGTGTGTGTGTGTGTGTGTGTGCGCGCAATATGGGCTAGCTGTTGCCATAGTAACACAATGACTGTGCACATGTGGGTTCAGTCAATTGGAGGGGGGTAGGTGGGGTTGACAGTTTGACAGAAAAAAAGATAATCTGGGAATGGTAATACCATGGACTGCACAGATCCCAGATTCACAGATCTGTGTCCATTACTGACCCTTGAATGGCCTTTGAGACCTTTCTTGACTTTCATGCTGCGTTTTGCTTGTGTGTGTGTGTGTGTGTGTGTGTGTGTGTGTTTAGCAGAAATTATGAATAGTGTGTGTTTGGTCTTCTGTTAAATAGCTACTAAACCAGATGTCATTTATCCATATAAAATAATACAAAAAATCTTATCAAAGAGGTCTGTATCAAATTTTCATATTGAATCCTCCCTCTGTGTGTGACACAGGCCAAGGAGACAAATGGTGCTTTAGAGCCTGTGGCAGTTACATGTGAGCCCCCAGTTTGTTTGTGTGTGTGTGTAATAGAGAGAGAGAGAGAGAGTATTAGCAGATGCTCTCTCTGGTCTTGTAGACATGCTCCAATGCTGCTGCCATCTGGTTGGCTGAGTGGAGCTGAAGGCGGGATGGTGGTCGCTGTGAAATCATTGGCTGATGGCAAGGCTCAAGGCTTTAAGTCCACTTAAGGACTGTGTGGAGGGGGGTCATAAAAGAGGGAGCGTTATGGCTTTGTCCACTCGAAAGGGCAGATGGAGAGGGCAGAGGGGCAGTCATGCATTGACAGGAGGAGTATGGGGGGACGATAAACTAAGGCTGCGGCAGCATGAATTAGAGTATTTTTAAAACTGTTAATAAGTGCACTGAGATCGAGAACATACAGACAGACAGCCAGTTCAAGTTCATCTTATTATTATTATTAAATTATTTTTTTCATTTACTCAAGTCTGACAGGGCATGTAATGGGGCGACAGATGATAATACAGCTTTTAATGAGCCACTCCAGTGATTTTATTATTGTACTGTCATAAAGTTAAGGAGTTACAAGAGACAAATAAAAAAGGTCAAAATCTGTGACATCTTCAGTTATTTTCAAACTTTGGAAAGTCCCTCCAGAGTTACGGAAGACATTATTTAGGGGTTTTCACAGGCTAAATAGTACTACTTGTGATGAGTACTGAACTTTATATGTGAAGCCTTTAACAAACCCCTTGCATAGCCAAAAGTATTTGGAAGAGAAAAAGAAAATGCTTATTACCCACATTTTTTATTTTATACATCCATCACAGATAGATTTTTTGTCTGATTGTCATAACAGTCATGTTTCCTCTCCGGTCTGACTTTGCTTTTATTAATGCTGCATGTTTCATGATCTCAGCAATTACTTGCCTATTAAAGTAAATCCTTGTTTGAACTCATCTAATGTTTATTTGCCTCTTAAAATGACACTAGGCGATTCCACCACCAGCATGCCTGCACACACATAGTACGCAAACGAGAGCTACTGTTAGAGAAATGAGATTAGGACAAAGAGGGAGGGAGAGTTGATTGTAGCAGTGGTGAGTGGTGCTCTTTAGGAGAGGTTATCTTTGGTCACACCGGCCTGCCTGTCTGCCTCCATTACATCAAACCGCACAGCCACTGCCTGTGGAGCTGAGCCACAGAGGGCTGGGACACGCTGTCATCCTTTATACCTTCTTCTCTCATCCCTCTGTTTCTTTTTTCACATCTTTCAAAAAAATTTACAGTTTATAGACATTCCTTTATCTTGTTCTCCCTTTTTGCCTCTTTTTCTGCTTTTCCTCTCTGCCCTTCATGCCAGTAATTGTTTATCTGGGACTTGTTAGTAATGCTGTGCTCACCCCTTCTCTCCCCTCTTTTGTACTAATTTAATTCTGCTTTCAAACCTTTTCTGCAATTTTTCTCTCACCTCTGATTAATCCTTCTGCTCCCTCTCGTCAGTTCCTCCATTTCCTTTCTTGCTCTTCATTTTTATCTTGTAGATTTCAAAACCAACAGGCCTTCTTTGCTTATCTTTCGGTAAAGATGTGTTTAGGAAGTGCTTTTTTAAAATTTGTGACATCTTATTTCAGCATGATCTTAGTGCAGAGTGCAAGGAACGTTAAAGGAGATGGTTCCATGAGATTTCAGCTATGATGATGGAGGCACACAGTATACGCCTTTGCTTACCAACCAGGGTTCTTTCTGTCAAGAAGGTAGATGGCAGTGTCCCTTTATTTGTTTTAAAGGTCAGCTTTGGTTGTGTTTCAATATTATTTTACTGGAGAAAGTCCAATGTCATATTACATAAAGGTAAAAGCAGAACCCTGTACATTTGGTGTCATTATGGCTAAAGGAAAAGCTTTGGCCAACTGTCCTGAACATGACTTTTAAACATCAATTTGTATAAGACATTGAAATTGTTGTAGTTTAAAAGGTCATTGTGTTGGCCTATGTTCTTCTGTTTTATTTGGTGCACTGTGATAATCCACTTTGGTACAGAAAAACTGTTTGTATAGAATTGTGTATACTGTTATGCTTAAGTAAATTATGGAATACAGAGAATACAACATACTCTAGGTTTGGATTGCTCATTGGATGAGGCACTGATGATGTCTTTCAGTGTTAACACAACTGCATAAAAGTGCAAATTATCCCTATAACTGTATCACATTCTATAGAAGCCATTTCGAAACCAGCTGAATGACCCTTGAGGCTGCTCTTCTAAATAGGAATATCAAGTTTATGCATTCCAGTTCTCCATCTCTCTTTTCATACTGACCGAGATGTTTTAGAGTCACAAGCCTTTTCATCTTGATGATTCAACTGGCGAGCTCTCTGCGTTCCTTGTCATTTCCTTGTTCTGGTTGCTCAGAGTGTATTTTTACAGCTACATACTCATTATTTTCTCTCTCTCTCTCTTCTCCCTTCTCTCTTCTCTCTCAGGCCCTGGCATCTCACCGAGCCTACCTCTTGACAGCACGCATTCCCACCAAGGTAAGAGCATCAACTCGAACAGTTGCAACTTCAGTGAAAACCAAAACAATAATAAGTTAGATTAGCAAATATTGTAAAAAAATTTATTTTCTTATAATTCAAATGCTGAATGTAAATTCATCCGAAATGATGATGTCAGAAAATTCTTCATAGGACCTCTTCCTGTAACCCCAACGCAATATTTGATTGACATCAAAGTTTTAGCTGAATGACATGTCATCTCCTCATCCTGTCAGTGTAGTTTGAAAACTTTGATTGTTATGTTACAGGCTTCAATGTGTGGTCTTGGTTCATTCTTTAAATTCCCAACATTGTTCAGCTGTTACAAGGTTTCCCTGATTTCCCAAACTCCACAGCACTTTTAGTTTGTGTGAGTGTGTGTTTGAGTCTGGGTGAGATAAACAGCTGATTAAGGCTGAAGTAGTAGCTCTGTGTGCCTTGTTCTATTGCTATTATACAGCTGGTTGAGATGCCTGTTTGTATTTGTTGTTGTTTTTTTAATGGAACAATGGTGCTGTAATGCTGCGCACATGTCAGCTGTTGTTTCTCTGCTAGTGATGGTGCCATCTGTCATCATCTATACCAGCATCATTGTCACCGCAACCACATTAAAAAAACAGTAGTGCAGTAATAAAGTGCAGATGTTCACTAAAACATCCAGCGGCAGCAGCTCAATGTCTATTAACTGTCTCAGCCACTATTAACATCAAGCTTTGTAAAAGTAATGTATAATTCCATTATTCCAATGCAGAGTACAATCAATATACATGGTTATCTTAGCCAGCAATGTGTTGTTTTAGATGGAATTTTTTATATATTAACAAAATAGAAATATACATTGGGTTTTGCGATCAGAACAAGGCTCTTATTAAGGATTAGAGGTGACATATTTCTACTGCATTATTCTCTTCAGTATGACAATATATTTTAACGCTAGTCGGTAATGGTTTTAGATTCGATTGGTGTCATTTAGGATGATATATCGGCCTTGTGAGTGCTGGTATCCGATTAACCGGTCTATCACTACTTTTGATCATATTACCTGATCTGCATCAGCAGATGGATTTTTCCCACTTGTAAAATGCAGATGTTTAAATGTCTATTTTTTCTGAGCATTTCTAAGGACTTGAGTTTCAAAGATCATTCTTAACCTTGAAACCAGCATTTGGAAAAACAATCTTACTTCAAGGTCCATTAAGTAGTGGAGCTTGGTTTAGGGTTAGAACTTATTAACTTTCATTTCACTTTGAAGTGAACATAACATAGCTGCACTTTATAACCCAACTTTGATTTGAATTCTACATTTTTAAAACATGTAGCTTTTAATTATTTTTTTAGCGTGAATTTTAGAGTGGAAACCAGTGTTTTATCTACCGTTTCTGGACTGGCGGTCCTCCTGGTAGGAAAGAGGATCACTTCATAGTATTTTCCCTAAGTCAAGAGTTAACATAACATCATATCTTGAACCAGCTCCAGGGAATACAGTTGCCCTGCTGTACTGTATGCTTTCCAGACAATAAGATGCCTCCAGGGACAGTTTATGTGATTGATTGGTGGCTTCAAAACTGATTTAATGGTTTACTGGGAATAGAAATGAAGAACATTCAAGCTGACCGTGTTTAATATGACGTCATTTGTTTCCAGTGTTTTGAGCTGCAGGTTCAGGGTCTGTTTATCATTTAGCTGTCTCTGTGTCTGTTTTCTGTGTGCTCTCTTCTGACCAGGAGGGAATACACACCTGCTTTATGAAGAACTAACCCCCCTCACCAACCTTCCTCTCGTCTACTGCATCAGTCTGTCTGTCTTTTTTCCACTGTCTTTTTCAACTCTCCTTTCTATACCTATTTACACCTCTCCGTTGTACTTTATCTTCCTTACTTTGGATGCTGCTCTTGTTGTTGTACATTACTCCAATTTTGATCAAGACTGTAAGACATCTTGCTGCAGCTTCTCGGAGAAGTTATGGAACTTTCTGATGGTCTGTTTAGACATGAGCTGATGAATCATGAAGTACGTCTGTCTGTCTTTTTTAATAATAATTTTTTCCACACAGGAAGCAGAATCCCTCCTCTGTTGGCTTTCAGATCTTTCTATTTTAGATATTTTATTGAGGTGTTTGGAACAGTTGTTGGCAATTATAAATAGATACATAAACCATTGTTTTCTTGTAAGAACAGGTAACCGAAAGAACCAAGGACAAGATAATACTCCAATCATTAATAATGCAATAGAAAATAGTAACACAGACACAAAAATAAGGCATATTTTCTAACAACAGGGTTTAGCCTACGCTGTACTTGAAAGAAATTGGTTAGTAGTGATGCAGCAATCAGGCAGCAACTTTTAAACCTTACACTCTTTCTCAGAGACAGACAGCATTGTCAAGCATGTCATGCCATTACACACGGACAATACATGTACAAACCCTCATTCATTTAATTCATGTTAAGAGACACAGAAATAAACAAAGAAAATATAAAAATAGAGAAGGAAATGAGAAAAAGAACCTCAGCAAAATATTTAAAACCTGTTAATATTGTAAAAATTACTGTATATCATAAATCCCACCCCAACAAAACACAAACCCAGAGATCCCAAAGCTAGCAGCTATTAAAGTTAAGGTTGGTAGTTTTCGTTAGAGGTTTCCTCCAGATGTTGACTGAAAGGTTGCCATATTAAATTAAAGATATTTGCCAAGATATCTAATCCTCTCCACCTCTAGTATGTTTACAAGGTCATTTTGTAACATTAGGTACGGCTTCTACCCAAAACTGTTTCTGTTGCAGAAAACCTCAATCCTCTTTTCCTCCTACTCTGCTTAGCCAGATTACAGCCACAAGTCACCTTTTCTCTCCTCTCCTTTTCTTTAAGCCATTTGTCCAGCTTTCTCAAGCTCATCCTCTTCCTTTTCAACAATCCAGATTACTTCATCCTCTCTTCATCCCTGTCTCTTTCCCTTTATCACTTTACCACTGTGCCAAAGGTCTATGATGTCCTAAATCCAATTGAATCTAATAGATTTTATCTTAAAAGTAATCTGTTTGGGTTTCTCTCGAGGATCTCTCTGCAACAAAGGATTACTGTCACTGAATTTATCAGCAGATTTTTTTGTTTTGCTTGATTACTGTTTCAAGGGATGAATCGTCATTACAGTTACTGTCAATCTATTTTCTGTTTAATTGACTCATCATTTTGGCACTAAATTTCTCAAAATGTAATTTCCAGATTTTCAAAAATTGTTAAAAACATGCTTACCTTCCCACTTAATTGAAACTCGTATGCCTTCAGGATCGTTTTTGTTTCACAATGCTACCAGTAGTGTAAGTGCAGGATGCTGTCACTGTTAAAAGACGAAACTTGCCAACATCCGTAAAAAAAGCTGATGGTTCCAGTATTTCTGACTATATTGATTTTTTTTTTTTTATGTGAAATCTATATTACAGTGGAGACAAGTCAACTGTAAATTAGGATTAGCCTCTGCTCACTGTTCCAACACAAGAGCCATTGACTTAATACATCCTCCGCAGATTCACTCTTTTAGTTTTCTGCAGAAAATCTGTTTTTGTTGAATCAACGCTGAGACAGTGTTGATTTATGCTTCTGGCCATCTGAATGTGTTGTTGGTGCTGTGTTTGATCTGTCCTATTTTAGATGCGTCTCTGTCTTGAATCCCAGAGATGCATCTAAAACATACAATATAACAACCAGTAAGTGGGGATTTCATCAGTAATGCCCACGGCCTTTAATATTAGAGTAACTGTATTGCTGTAGCAGTAAACCCTCAGTTAAACACTTTCCTATGTAGCTCTACTCTGTTGTAGATAAAATCTCCCCCTAGCTCTCCAAGGCACTTCTCAGTGGGTTTTTTGTGTGTATGACTCCAATTGATGGTTTGGCTTCTCTTGAGAAGCTGCAGGGCCTTACAGTCTGTCAGTATCTCCTCCCAAACATGCACACATGCTTCAAACACACAAAATCACGCTTTCATTCATCACACCCTCCTTTTCTTTTGCCTCTTTTTTTCTGTATCTCTTGATGCTGTATTTTCACATACCTGTACACTCCTTTTTTTAACATTTTTTTTTATCTCACTTTGCTTTCTGCTTTATGACAGAATTGTGGTGTTTTAACAAAAGATCACACTGAGCATATATTTCATAATTTAGATAGGCCTACCCAGACCTAACATCTCATGTAATCTAATGCAAACCATCTCATAAAACCTCAAGTAAATGAAACCTCTAGCATGAAAGATTCTAAGCTGTCTGACTACTAGACAAATGTTTATAAAGCAAAATCTACAGTCTTCTCTTATAATGTAGCTCATTGCAACAGCATCCCAATGTTCACAATTATAACCAATTCCTGTACATCAAATCATAGACACAAATACAAGTTAAATTTTCCAAGAAAATACAACAAAAAGAAAAGAGGAGGAAAGCAGTTAAAGTGACAGATGGAAAGTGAACGAATGAGTGAACGATGCAGTTACTCAGGCATTTTTCCCTACACCTCCCAGCATGGTGTCTTGCCATTGGCTAGACCCAGAGGAAAAATCTTTTTCTCAGACTAGTCTTTTCTTTAACTCTTGAGAAAACACTAAGATCTCAATAGTATATCTTTTTGAGATCACTCCAATCTGAATTTTTGCTCCTAAAACCCCTTAGGAGAAAAGGATGAGATGAAGAGATTGAGGTTTTGAGACTTAGGTAAGACAACTCGATACTTAATTGAGATTACAATAGGATAAATGATAGTAACAGATGAGATCTCATCATTGTATCTATCTGAGTTCATTAATGTCTTCCTTATTGCTCCTAAAAACCAGTTGGGAGCTGTTCGTGAGCTTGATTGTGTCACATTACTGTCTATGCTTAATAACCATGCTGGAGGTTTGCCCTGAGCTGGATTTGAACCCCACTCCTGCTGTTCAAAGGGCAACAACGCTGCCACTGCGCCATCCAGCTAAACTTAGATGTACGGGACTGATTGAGAAATACCATATCCACAATTAAAGTCCTCAAAATTCTAGTCAAGTAAAAGGTAGAAAAGTATTCCATAGTGAATGTACTTAAGTATCAAAAGTAAAAGTGCTTATTCTGTATGACCGATACATGTTGAATCTCGGTTCTTGCGTGCATTCGGTCCTTAATGAATTAATCTCTAAACATCATGTCAAAGTATTGGGTGTTCCAGTTATGTTTGCTGTGACTACCTTAACCAATTGGAAAACATGACATTTGAAAGTGCATTATTTTCAATGTCAAAATTAAATTTTTCTCAGTAACTTGTAACAGATAATTAACAATAAATACAATAAGGATTTGAAATTAAGGAGAGTAAAAATACAAACCCCCATAAAAAGAAAATATTCAACCTCAACATTTTACGTAAGTAAAGTACTTGAGTAAAATAACCCCTAAGTGGGGTCACTAATACAAAACTGAGAAATATCTTGGTACTTTTTTTCTGATCCACATTCTGGACTGAAATTACAGTTATTTAAGATACTGTAGAGTTCTCATCCTTTGATCAGAGTAAGACAGAGATGTGTTTTTGCTCCTGAGGCCAATATGAGAAAACTGAGACATATTTGAAAAGAATCATGAGATCCTAGGAGTCATAGCTGAGTTTTCGTTGAGCTCTTTCTCTGATCTCATGGTCCAATGTTCAGGAGACTTAAATAAGACTTATTTAAGATCAGTTAGAGATCTCTTGTTTTGATCAGAGTCAGGCATAAATGAGATTTTACATGGTTGTTTCTCCTGAGATGAATTTGAGAAGTGGGAGAAAAGGCCTTTGGTCTCATCTTGGTATTAAAAGCAGCTCATTTGTGTCTAGGAGAAAAGAAGGAAACAACTATGAGATCTCACCCTGGATTTTGCTTTCCTATGGGGAGTTCATATTCATCAGCATGCTCACCTATTAGTTGCTGGCACTCAGTTCAGCAGGCTATCTAGTATTTATTGGCTGTATGAAATGAACTGATTGACCCCGTTTAAGTTAGGTTTGAACACCGTTTACTGCATAGGCTCTTGTAACGTGAGCATATAGTTTATGTATACTCACTTCCGTAGACTGCTGTACCACTTCTACTAGTTTACTGTAGCCTACATACTGTACTGTAGTACTGTATCGGCCTGTATGCCAGACCTAGGTGTGAATAGATGTGTGATGTTTGCTAATTTGACATTCCCATCATACCTGGTTGTGGAGTGTGTAGTGAGACATAGGTAATAAACTGTATTATGGTTAGTAGCCTCCTATACTGTCAAAATGCCAAATTGTTCTGTTAAACCTTTTTCTCACTGAGCAACAAGAAACACCCCTAGGGTGACCTGGAACTTAAATATAATTATAAGAACACAGTTACATTTACTGCATAATTGACACTAACGTATTTATCTGTTTTAACCTGCTCTGTCTGTAGTTGAGTGTTTGATGATAATTTAGCAGTTACTTTGCATTCAGGATGATCTAATTGAGTTTGAGGTGCTATGGTAAAGGTGCTAAATACTGTAGCTCACAGATAGCCTGTTTTTGTAGCTAAATAACTGTAGCTAACATTAGCCACCATGCTGTAAGCTACTTGCCATACCAGATAACATTAAAATAAAGCTGTACCTCCTAAAGAGTGTGTTGAATGAAGCGAGGGTGTTGTATTGTTTATAAATCAACTTTTCTTTTCAAAGACAAAGAATGTATTATTTCAGTTATGTAATGTTGCTTAAAAACAGTCAGGTACCCCCTTGTCTCTGCTAATAGCAAACTGTATGTTTCTTTGTTTCGTCTGATGAACATGTGATTAACTGAGCTTAGACTCATCTCCTTTTGAATAGTGTGTGTGTGTGTGTGTGTGTTAGACTGTACCCTAAATAGAGAAAGTTTTATTGAAGATTTATTGCAGAATTATTTCTAGCGTACAGACTGAACATGAGTGAGTAACCACAGTGCAGTGCTGAAGCACACAGACACACTGCATGCTGTAGTCAGACAGTAGACAGACAGTGCGCTTATCCTCTCCCTCCTCTCATCTCTGAGCCAAGCCTCAGGAACACAGCACCCACCTGGAATAGTCTGGCCTCGCTCCCTGGCCTGCCCTCAGGCACTGTACTGTATGTCTGTGTTTGTGTGTGTGAGAGAGAAGAAGAAAAAGAGATGGAGAGGAAGTGCATGGAAACTGTGTGCTCAGTGTATAGTAGTAGTAGTAGGCATTTGTATTCACAGGATCCCCCTCTCACACAAAAGGATATATTTTTCTTTTTAGGTATTGAAAAGCAGACTACTGCTGCTTTCTTTGTCCTAAAATACTGTCTGGAAAAACAGAAATAGAAAATGTTGATGTAAGACTGCTCTGTTTGTCTTTAGCCTGCCTTGTTTTGAAAACCATGTATGTGAAAAAAGATATGAGGAATAGACCTTTTTTGATTTACTTTCCATTTTCTGTTAAAGCTGAAATTGTTTCCTTCTCTATTCAAACAATTCAAGAAGCAAATTGTAAACACTAAAAGGAAAGATTTAGTGTCTCACCTATGTGTAACTACAAGCATTTAAGAGCAAATACTTTCATGCAAATGAGCAATAAATGAACAGTGCTTCCTAGTTGCAATTTAAATAAACTCAACTGCTAAAGATACAGGGATAAATAGGATGAAAGAGAGTGACTGTATCTCATCTTCGTTTTCATGTGAACCAGCACGTTTCGAGGCCATGCCTATGTATGATATAGTATAATTATTATAATGGTGATTTCTGTGCTCTTTTTTTCAGGTGGAACATTCCTTTAATTATCTGGAGATCCAGGGGATTGCTTGTAACAAGCCTACACAGGTACAGAACCTAGCACAAAAATGAACCCGTGTCCAGCACACCATAAGAGCATGGTCATATTATGCCTTTTGGCTTTTTCCCTCTCCTTTATTGTGTTATATATCGGTTTTGTGCATGTAATAGGTTTGCAAAGTGAAAAAGCCCAAAGTCCACCCCAAAGGAAGTTCCCATCTCCCAAAGAAAACACTACTCTGAACTGCCTGAAAACAGTAGTCCAGCCTTTTCTTCCGCTTTTTGCCGACGTCACAAAAAACACGCGTCATAATACTCGCCTAGTGGCTAGTCAGACACACCCTCAAAAAACACAGGTGGAAAAACACTCCTTATGAATGAGCATAATATGACCACTTTAAAGGATTAGTTCCACATTTTGGAAATACACTTACTCACTTTCTTGCAGAAAGCTAGAAAGATCAAGACCACTGGCTACACATCACTACAGCCAGGAGGTAACTAGCTTAGCTTAGGATAAAGACTGGAAGCAGCTCACTGCTCTGTCTACAACCACATATTACCATCTTTATATTTCTGTTAGTGTGCAGATTAAAGAAACAAGACACAACATGTTATTTAATGAACTTTAGAGATGCTGGTAGGCATATTTGTTATCTTTGGACAGGAACAGATTAACTGTTACATCCAATTTCCAGTCTTTATGCTAGGCTAACCGCTAGCTATCTGAGCAAAGAGCCATGAGAGTGGTATCAGTCTTCTCAGCTAACTCTCAGCAAGAAAGCAGGTAAGTGTATTTTCCAAAATGTTAAACAATTACTTTAAATCATAATTTACCAGGTAAAACCAGTTTGTTTGATGTGGTAATAACTTGTGCTTACATTATACATTTAGGATTTTTATAGATTATTTCATAATGGTACAGTTCACCTTGTAAATTCAGCATAAACAACTTGTAGTCAATTTTATTTTGTCCTGAAGTACAATTTTGCTGTTAGTGAAGCTGTAAAGATTGCTGTAGTTAAATACCCGCAGTGAACGTATTGACAAGCCAACATGAACAACAATAGAAAGCTCTTGATGTGTATTGTGTTGTATGTGAAAAGAAAACGAGAGCCAAAGAGAGAAGCGTAAAGCATATACTAAAACAACATTAGCTCAAACTCTAATATTGTATTTTATTGATTTCATTTTCAATTCTGGTCCTAGAATACCACTTCTTTTTATTTTAACCATCGAATCAGGGAGGGATTCTCATCAAGGATATCAAGAGAGTCCAGTGTAGTACATTCATATCCTCAATACAATAAAAACTAGTAAATTTATGTTTCATACGGGCCAGAAATATTGCTGCAGGTAAACTTCGAAGGGAAGCTTAGACTTCAGTGTCTTACTCCGGGACACTTGAGCATGATGGATGTTTGCTGATATGGGTACTTAAACCCAGGGACAGCGCCTATACTCAGATTCTATGCTGTGAACAAGGTAGACTAAACTGAAAAGATTGGAAGTAAAATCTTCAGTGCTAGTATAATCCATAAAAAATTATAAAATCAAAAACAGGTCTGGATTTAGAAATGATAGCTCTGGGGGAGCTGTGTCCTATCTGGGAAGAGCTTCCATTTGGCTTTTTGACCAGTGCTGGCTAGCTGTCAGCCAGCAGGATCTATCTACAAAATATGATAATCCTTCACTAACCAGACTGTTCCAGCAGCTGAACCTCTCTCCCACTCATCTCGAGAGATGTCAGTCCTCCTAATATATTGACTGATGGTCTCCCATGTTTAATAAGTATCAGCTGGGATTATGTTAATTTTGGCCTATACTGCGTGTATCGCCTTACATCAAGCATTTGCATAATTACACTGAAATGGTCTTATTCAATTGGTAATTAAATCTTTACTTTAGCTTAAAGATGTGGGATGTAAATGTGGTTAAGTGGAAAGATGGATGTGTTTCTTCCTGTCATTTACATTACTGCTTGGTAGATTCAGTGGATAGACACTTGGGAGTAGACGGGCAGAAAAGTGGAAAATGAAATGGAAAGATAAAAATGTATGTGTATAAACACATAATGCACTCCTGTTGAATCCTCTCAATGCAAACAAGCTATACAATAGATTTTATTTTTTTTAAAACCAAACTGACTTAGTGGATGAAATACAGTAACTACGTCTCTTTTAAAAATCTAAATAAGTGTAACTGTGCTTGAGGTAGATTTAGGTGAAACTGTGCATGCTGTTGTGGATCACTAATTACTGATGTGTCCTTTTAGCTGTTCATAGAGTACGAGCGTGGCTCCTTCTCTCTGAAGCTGCCCTCTACAGAGGAAGTCAACGAGGTGGTCGCTCACATAGGAAACTGTCTGCTTAGGATATGTCCCGGTTTACCACCTAGGTGAGTTCCATCTCTATTTATGTGTTTTTTGATGGATTTATTGCGATTTAAATGTACCAGTTATGTTCACATCAGTCCGAAAAAAATGTAGTTAAATTTGCATTACGGAACTTTTGTTTCGCCCTTCTGACAGTGAGAGTAATTACACTGTCGAGTTGAGGTGGTGCTGTGTCTATGGCCTTGCTTCAGCTTTGGCAAACCAACACTCCTTGTTGGCATACAATGCATCACCGGTTTGCTAGAGAGGGAATGTCGCGACAGATACCAGATTTTAAAACTCTGGTATACTGCGAATACAGAGAGATTTGCCTGGCTTTAATAGGCTTAATCAACATTGTTTGAACTCATTTGGCAAGGGCTTGAATGTAACGTATGTTCATTTATATGTAAAAGTACTGCACTCCAGCTTTAAATTCACCTCATAGTATTTCTATTATCAGTCTCTGTGTGAGTGCATGTGTATATGCATATTTATTTTGCATGTGTATGAATTATTCTCTAAAAGACTGCCGGAGATCTCTGTAAGTCCCTTTGGTTGACTCATAGCCATAGTACATTGTATTTTATATATAAAACAATTTATCTATTGTAATGCGGATGTGAATCTCATCTAATATGTTTTGTTGAGAACAGGAAGCATGAATATAAATGCGGAAATGATCACAGATGTAAAACCATAAACTTGTACGATAATGTCTTGTGAACAGGACAAAGTCTTTGACTCAACAGACAGAGAAGATGTTTGTATCTTTGAGCTGCAGTAGATTTAATGCATCATCAGACTTTAATTGTGTGGTTTAAGTTTAGGTAGTTATTAAATTATTGGAGTACATAATAGTACTCAGCAAGGTCCTGCTTGGGAAATGTCCATTGACAGGTAAGACTGTGAGAAAGTAGCCAGAAGCTGCCTGTTTCAAATCTATTAAATGGCTGCAACATTTGCGAAATGTAAAAATGGGATGACAAAACTGTGCTCTAATCTGTATTTTTTCCTCAGTAAAGTGATGAAGAAGCTCTGCATGGAGCCTCCAGACAGACTGACCTCTCTGCAGACTCTGTGGGAGAACAACAAACCTGCTGAACCTGGACCCTGTGGTAAGATCTGTGACCTTGCAATAATTACTGTGTGCTTCTTCATGCCTTTGCTGTAGTATGAAATGTGTGCGGTATAGTCAGTCATACACTGAGTTTACAAAAATTGAAAAGTAGTTTCACATGCTGAATTAAAGTGATTGTCATTTGTGATAAAATTAACTGTAGATTCAAATTATATGCAATTTTGCAAAATCTCCACCCCACAGCTCTTTGGTAAGATGGACAGCCAAAATATTCTGTAATGTTTATATTATATATGTTGTGTTCTCTCCCTCTGCCTAGGTGGGTTTTCTCAGATGTACAGATGTGTTTGTGACTGGTTGGGGCTGCCGCACCGGGAAGAGGTGCAATGGGTCAGTATTATTATTTACATTCTTTTGTGCAGTTGCACAGCATTGACAGATCATGGTTCGACTGTACTGCAGTGCTGTTTACTAGATGACATAAAACTGCATAAACTTCTTTGATAAATAGGATAGCCACAACAGTATATGAATATAGTACCCATGTTTTTACATTTCTCAAAATCTTTTTCATACTCTTGCTCCTTCTTGACACTTTCTCTGCTTTATGTTTCCATCTGCCCTGTGGAATCGTTTAGACTCATCAAGAGCTAGCAGTTGTAATAATTAATTTCTTTTGTAACAGACTTGTTTCGTTTCCTTTGTTTCCTTTCCAGGATGTGGACACTATCTATTTGACACAAGACACCAGAGAACTCAACCTGCAGGACTTCAGCCATCTGGAGAACAGGTGAGTGTTTGAATTAACCAAGGTAAAATATAATCCAGCAACATGATGTGAATAATTGTGAAAGCAGTTGCACACAGATGAAGCCATGTGGCTGAAAAGATTTGTTGGGATGAGAGGACCACAAAGCTGAAAGATAAGAGAGCTACTGTAGGTGTGACATGATTTATTTTTAATGTCAAAATGTGCTGAAGTCACCATTAACCTAAGGTGGTGTTGAAAGGTGATGGAAAAAAAAAAAAATCTAGTTGCAGCTATGACCTTTTCTTTCCTCCCTGTCTTCTCCTCCTCAGGGATCTGGTGGCTATAATAGCAGTCCTGGAGTTTAACCAGTGGTTCACCAAGCTCTCCACTAAGGACTACAAACTGGTTAGTACACTTTTTCTCTTGTCTGCTCACTAATCATGTCTGTTGAGTTTGTGGAAATTAAAAACACAGTTATTGTTGTCTTGTTATAGCTAGCCATGAAGCAACATGAACTACATGATCCTTAGGAATGTTTGTTGTGTTACACTAATGGTATTTCAGTTTTGGCAGGGGGTCAGTCAAGTATTTTGATGGGCAAGTATTTTGTCTTGTTTTTCTTGTATTCTTTGTTTTTCAGTGTATTCTGAGCTCCATGCTTGAGACTTCATGCTGGTCTTTTCTGGCCACCAACTCCTTCCATTTACACTAGAATGATTTATATATGATCAGTTGCCAATTTGGTAGGTTAATCTAGTTTAATGCAGTCTTATTCAGTCGCCCTGCAATAAATCCTCCATTTAAGAAGGTTGTGTTCAGTTTTTTGATGATTATTTTATATTAGTTTCTAGTATTTTGTCCACTCCATTTACATGTGGGTGGTTTTAATATTACAGAGGCAATAAATAATTATTGTATTGCTTTTATAATTTCCAGGTAGTTCCTCCTGTCTACTTACCAGTTTTGTACATTTGTGTTGGATAAACAGTCTAATAGTCTGCGGCCATAAAACAGCAAAATTATCAAGATTTAATTTAATCTTTTAATTAAGTAGTGAGGAGAATCACTACTTAAGATGAACTGATAGATGTGTCTGTCCCTGTCTGTCTGTTCTATATTCCTTTCACTTTTGTAAAGGTCCTGCTTCTCACTTCCTGACTGCACTACTACCGTACGGATGCAGTGGTTTCTGCACCTGTTACAATATCTTTTTTCCCCTCAATGCAGTAAAAAGAGGGGTGGGAGCTTGGAGGGGGGTGTCTCTCTGTCCTTCCATCTGTCAAATACCATATCACAAGTGAGAGACTGCACCAGTTGATATCGTCAATACATGGGAAATCCCTGGGTAAACAAGATAAAGAGTCATTGTGAGGCTGTACTTGGACGCAGCAGTGTTTTGAGCTAAATGCTAACGTCAGCATGCTAACAAATTTACAATGACAATGCTAACATACTCAGGTTTAGCAGGTAGGCTTCTGTGTTATTGCTCAGGGCTCACCGTGTTCAAAATCTTAGTTTAGTGTGTTAGCATGTTAACATTTGCTTATTAGCACTAAACACAAAGTACCGCTGAGGTCGATGGGAATGTCATCGAATGTAGTTTTGCTGGGTTTTTTTTTTTAAAGTACCGGACAAATAAAATTAATTGAGCTTTGTCCAAACCGGTGGGCTGGGATAGACTGACGGAACGGGCGGAACAGGTTGACATTGTCTTTCTTAGAGCTACGCCAACACCGGTGTAGTTCAGATGAAACTTGTTACAAGTTGATCGAAAGGCTTTTTAAGGGTGGTTGAGAATTTCACTGTTATCTGTTATAACTAGTTATTTCTGTCTCTTCCGAAATCATACGTTTACAACATATCCCCGCTCTGCCTGCATTTACTGCAGTGCATGTCTCTCACTCACCTTTGCCTAACTATGCGTAAAGCTGTATCTGCTGGTACAGAATTTACCCCCTTTGTTTCCTCAATCATCCCCGCCTGTCTGCTGACTGAGGATCAGTCCAATGTTCTCGTGTGATAAGACTCTTAATCCTAACGAGACAATGGGGCTCAATGTCTCAGGCTGTTGCCCCCCTGCAGCACTCCATTACTAACTCTCCGTCTCAAGGCTTTCGCTCGGTCTAACCAATTACCACACGCAGCTTCCACAGTCCAAACAATTATCTCACGCCTCCGTCACAGACAATTCCTTTTGTATTGAATTTTAAAATCCTGTCCGTCACCACGCCATGTGCATATTTAGGCTCAAATACTCAAACGGGCACATGTGCACCTTGTGTCTAACGTGTGTCCTTTCTATCCCCGATTAGCATGTATTATAATGGATGCTAAGGCTTCTGTGTTAGGAAGTTTCAGCACATGTTTATTCAAATGTTTTGTAGTTTTGTTACTGGAGTCGGTTTTCTTCTTCTTGTTTTGGACAGTCGTTCTGTTCTGTTTATTGTGAAACAATGGAAAATTTGTTTATTGCAACAGAAACTTCTTTGGGTGTTAACATGGCAACGTTAGTCTTATTTCCCCTCTTTTTTGTCTCTGTGCATGTTTATACAGTGATAATGGAGAGACAAGGGGAGCAAGGATGTGCTCTGGTGCGTGATTTTGAATTGTTCTTGATCCTGTGCCAGTGGAAACAATAACAAGTTAGAAAGAAGAATAGGATGGGAACAGAGAGTGAAAGGGACAAAGTGATGGCAGCAAACAGAGCAGTGAGACAAAAACATAAAGGCCAGTGAAGAGGTCATTGGACAGAGTGTGAGGGAGAGATGCCAGACGAATAAGGAAATGAGTCAGAAGGTATCAGGAAAGAGATCAGATTTAAAGAATGACGCCAGAGTGAGAGGGACTTGACATTTCCAGCATGAGAAACGAGTCTTTACTGTCTAGAAGTATGCCAATTTATGTTCCTGCCAAATCTACTGACATGCAAACGTTCAACTCAAGGGCAACACTGCCCATCAGCCTGAACTTTTGTGTACACAGTTACATTGGGAGTATCTAAAACGAAATGTCTGGATTGTAAAGCGGAAAGAAAAAGAGAAGAAAAAGTGAGTGAAAGGGAAATTCACACGCCTCAGGCTTAAATTACAGCCTAACCATCTCTATCAAACAGATTAGGAATCTCTCAGTGCAGTGGACTAGATAATATAACACTAACAAACACTCTTTCATACACACACACACACACACACACACACACACACACACACAGCCGGCTATCACAGTGAGGGTTTATGCTGCTCATCCTCAGTTCAATCAGGCTGTTTGTCTTGTGGTCTAATCAAGATGCTGAGCCAAAAATGACAAAGGAGAAGAAGAGGAGAGAGCAGCATCGATAAAAGGACTTCCCTTCTGATTGTCTTATGATTGCACGGTGTGAGTGTGTGTGAGAAAGTGTTTGATATTTCAGCAGGACGTCCATCAGGACAGCACAGCATGACGAGGCTCTTATTTAATGAATGGTAAATGGTGCAGCGCACATGCTGACAGTGTCGCTGTGCTGTCCCCAAGAGTTTTATTGTGACTCTTTTGGAAAATACAGGCTTCTTTGTGTGCGCTCTCTCTTTACTGTGCAATGACCGTCTCCTCTCTCTCCTCTTTTTCTCTATTTCATCCCTCACTACCCATATATCTCCCTTTTCTGTAGTGTGTCATCTCTCGCTGCCCTCTATCGTTCTTATTCCTCTTCTGTAATACTCACAGATTCACAGAGTAAACATGTGAACAACAGTGCCTTTCTTCTATCTCGCCCTCTCGTTGTCTCTTTCTCTCTCCACGATCCCTCTCTCCTTTTTTCCCCTCTTTCTCTCCCCGTCACTGTAGATAACAGTGTGGGACAATGTCGCCAGTGTTTTGGCCACACTGAGGCTGCTGGCTGAGAGAAGTAGGAATGTCAATTTCCAAGAATAACAACAAAACAATGGTCCAGTAAAGTTTTGGTATTATGATGGAAAATGTTTGTGTTATGAATCAGCGCAGATAATTGGTGTAGCATTACTGAGAATTACTGTAGTAAGGCAAACAGGATATGTGTTTGTCTCCATATTTGAGCATGACGCAGCACACAGTGAAGTGGGTCAGTGAACATCTAGGTAGGGCATGGACGTCCAACTGTTGAATTTTTAATTTCATCTAAGTATGAGTGCTTTTGCTCCCCTGACTCTGTCTCCTGTGGTGTTGAGTCCACAGAAGCGAGACAGTTCTCCCTCTAAAGTGTCTAAAGTCTGCTGTCCCCTGTCTATCCTTGTTACGCATAAATGGACTTTGAGAGAAAGAGACAAAATTCACTTGTAAGCTGTTTGTTTTTTATGTTCTTCAGTGCAGCTTTAATTAGCATAAACAAACAGTTTTTCTGGAGTAGTTTCACTGCATTTTGCACAAGAGCACTTAGTGGAATAATTTGTCCCAAAAGTAAATTTCTGTGTTATTCCTTTGACCTTGAATGGTTCAATCCAAGCTGAACTGTTCTTGATAAAAGTGTGTTTTAAACCTCAGAGCTGGTTCAGTTAATTAGTATATTTTTATGCTTTTGATTAACGGATCAGTGAGCTAAGATCTACTGCACTGCTGTGAATGTGAGACTCTCCTATCATCCTTACTATTTACTGTTTTTAGAGCACTAACAAAAACTATAGTACATGTTTTTCTGTCTTGTTTAGATTGTACTACCTGCAAAATTATGAATTATAAAAAAAGATTTTACTGACACCTATGTTGTGTACATGTATGCATGTGTGTCTTTAGTCTGCAGATGTTTGCGAGCAGATCCTTCGTGTTGTGTCCCGCTCCAGTCGACTGGAGGAGTTGGTTCTGGACAACGCAGGACTCAAAACGTGAGATTATTAAATTTGTGGTGTCAAGGTCAATAAACTGGTAATAAAGACTACTACTGAGCTTGTGAAAATGGTTATATAATGTTTTCTGTGGGTCTGAAAGTGCTTTGTCAAGTGTTATGACTCAACTGTAGGAGACCACATTTTTAGCAGAAACCTATGTTACAAACTTGGGGTGGGCTTTGAAAGTTTCCCAAACATGAAGGGTCTAATAAAAGACACTGCTTTGCATTATGGGAAGTGTAGGATCCAAGCTTTTTAGAGCTTGACCCATACTAGCAACTAAAAGTCACTTTATGAAAATGTAATCACAAGATTTTTAAACATCACACTATACTTTAGATTTTTGATTTAATGTGATTCAATTTTATATTACTGAACCAATTTTTATGTTCATTTTAATAACAAACTAATAATTTAATGAGTATCAAAGCAAGACAAAACAGTTTTAATGTGCCCGTAACCAAAGTTATGGTAGAAAAGGCTTTGAAATCAATGTGTTAAAAAAACAAAAATGTTCAATACATACTGAGTTGAAAAACTGCAGTAGCTTTGTGGAGGGCTGTTGATGTTGGCCAGATGTCTGCTTTTGTCAACTAAGTGCGAGCTATGGATTTTTTTGTCATTCAGTTCAGTACTTACATGCTGACTGTTGGGAAGACTTTTCTCTTGCAGACTACACTTTGTAGCTTCCTTTACTACATTGGAAAGAAATGCAGCTGTTTGCTAGATTGATAAAGCAGATTTCAAGTCTTTATTTGCAGATAAATTGGTATTTGTTTGTAACAGCTGATAAATGACACAGAAGAGGGATCCAGTCAAGTGTTATGAGTGTTGTCATTGCATAGTTTGTCCACCAGAGGGAACTCTGCAACTCCCCTGTTAGCAGCACCTGTTCAGAACAAATCCATGTTAAAGTACTATTTACAACAATTAAAAAATAAATAAAATTGAAACTGCATTATGTCATGTTATCTTGGTGAGGTTTCATAACTACATATAACAAATGTTAGGGATTGTTTATGTAATGTGTTTCTGAAAAGAAGAAAGACAAAAAGAATATCAGCTGATATATCTGAATATCGGATTTTAAAATCCTCAAATATCAATATCAGTATTGGTCTTTCCAGACCAAAACCGGTCGCGCTCTAGTTACTAATAACATTTATGCTGGCTTTGTTCAACCGTCCCAGTAAACCATGACAGTGAGCCAGCATCTACAATACTAGGACCCTTAAACTGAAGCAGCTAAATGAAATTCAGCTGTATTCATTTTATCTTCTCCTACTGTGGCATGTCAACATGACTTCTGTGAAGGCGGCCTATTCACTTCTATTCTGCTCTGCTTTTCTGCAGTGGCAACAAAAGGATTTTTATGTTGCCAAAGCCTTTTGTTGCACACGTACAGTACATTGGTCATTCACATAATGGATACACTCTTTTTATACTCTACAGGGATTTTGCCCAAAAGCTAGCTGCTGCCCTGGCCCACAACCCCAGCTCCGGACTCACCACCATTAATCTTGCCAACAACCCACTGGAGGACAGAGGTACTATATGTGCTTTAGTCGATTCTAATGTACTCATCTCTGGTCTGTTATGTTCTCTACTGTACTTTATTTCTCAGTGTGAAAGGTAACTGCCTTTAAATCTGCAACATCCATTCATTGCATTGTAAACTATACTGTGTGTGTATATATATATATATATATATATATATATATATATATATATATATACACCACAGCCTGTCACCGGTATAGTAGATAGTTTAGGACATGTTACTATACAGTGAGTGCAACAAGTTTAATATTTCATTGTCTCTATCCTAAGGCATCTCAGTCTATCCAGGACACATGAATTAAAAATACATTCTACCAAATATTCAGGCAGTTGCATGTAAACATACACCAGATTTCTGGAGCCCCAACATTCACCACAAGGGTCTGTTGAATATGTTACATCTTAGCTCTGTGTATGTCAGCATGTATGCCTCTATAGACATTTACACATTTGTAGTTTTTTTGTTTGTTCACTAGTGACTGTGATTAATTACTTAGATTTTGAATAGGAAAGGGCGATGAAGCTCATTATCCAAAACTGACAATCATTTCAGCCACATACTTGTTCCCTTTGAGAATTGCTTGTATAATTGTCTGTTTTAAGCAGGGTTTGTCATAGCTGTGAAGTGTTCCAGAAATCTTTACTTATAGAACTCGATCGATATGGGATTTTTAAGTCTGATTTCGATATCTGAGGATTTTAGAATCCGGTAGCCCATATATCGGCCAATATTCTATTTTCCCCTTAATTTAAGAAATGCATGACATAAACAAAGATTATCTCTAAAATTTTGTTATGTTGCCGTTTAAAAAGAACCACTAATAAACATTAAAGTAAATAGTGTATTGTAGTGTAACAAAAACTATAAACAATACCTATATTCTGCTGCTACTAATAATAATAATACTATATATTTTATCTCATTGCTATAATAATAATAATGATAAAGAGGGTTCTCCAACATAGGCAAAAAATGATGTATATATTTTCTGTCATGCAATAATTTTTACCTTACATACAGTATAATCTGCCAAAATGACTACTTTCTACTATGTAGCATTTTCTAGTTTTCATTTCTCTAGTTTATCCCTTTACCAGCACTCTGGTAATTCTGTCCAAAGCTATGAGAAACCATTTCCTAACCACCACCTGGCTCTAAAACATGTCATCTATGATACAGTGACACAGAGAAAAACTCTAATTGAATTAATCTAATACTACATGACTGTCTACAAGGAGGACCTGCAACTTTGAGATTTCACACTAACTTGTCACATTTGAAAGAAGAGGTAACGTTTGAGAACTTTGTTAGGCAGGAAGCCGTGTTAGATTCTGGTACAGCTCACATTTATTCACACATCCCTTCTGGTTTAATCATTTCTGACACACCAACTGTAACTAAAGACATGCAGCTCACAGATATATTTAGAATATGTTAAACAATATAGTTTAACTGCTCATTAACAAGGTTGGCGATCCTCTACTGATAAACATGGCATTGGCTTTGTGGCTAATTTAGCAACGGGCAGCGTTAGCTGCTGTAAGTTATGTTAAATCATATTTAGAAGTAATAAACTAGGGAGAAATGAGAGGACTGTTCACTAGAAGTGCCGCACCGTTTCAGAAATAAATCTACAATCACATATGTCAGCGTAACGTTAGCCTCCACCACTCACCTACTGTAACATTAAACATCCTACTGTGATCCGGGAGAGTGCAGTGAAAAACGGTAGGGTTAGCAAGTCTGGTATGAATGTTTTGAGTAGAGGAGAAGTGATAAGGGCTGTTTTTACTATTTATTTAAGTCATGTAACTGACGTGAAAAATTAACAACTCACCCTGAACACTGAGTATGAGAGTTACTTGGACTACTCACCATAGCTGCAGTAGACACATAGGGTAGACTCTGGTCAGCTGATGTTTTGTTCTGTGGTGCTGCAGTGTTTTGAACAGAGGAGCTGCAGCTCGCCCTCTGGTGGGCAAACTATGCAACACTCATGATCTGAAGGAATGATCCGGCTCTCAGTCTCTTTTTTTAATAGTCATAAATCGGCTGTTATAAACGCCGATGCAGATATATATCTGCAAGTAGCCGATAATATCTGCAAAACGATAAATCGGTCAGGCTCTACTGATATAGGCAACCACTTTTTAAAAGTTAGTTTTAATACAACATAAACTTTCAGCTTAAAGGTTCAACACTGTTGAACCGTTAAGCAGATAACTACACCTTGTTAATGTTTGGATAAAGGTGCAGAGTCATTTGTATGTAAAATATAAGTCCTTATAGTGATTTCCTGTATGTTTCCTCCCTCTTGCTGCAGGTATCTCCTCCCTGGGTGCTCAGTTTGCCAAACTTCGTATGGGTCTCAAGCATTTAAACTTCTCCAAAACCTCACTATCACCCAAAGGTGTGTGCTGTCTACCCTTGTCTTATTTATACAGTTCCTAAAACAGGTGTATGATGAATGAAAACATTTGCAGTTTTGAAATGGAGTCAGTTGAAATGATTAAAATATAAAATAATAATGTAAATATTGTGTTGGCATGCGCTAGCTTTCCTGTTTTAGTTTTTTAATTTACATGCTCCCCTGTGGTCACATTGAATTCACATCTTCCACTAATCACACCTACTGCTGGGATGCTAATGACACTTAATTATTGCACTATTAACACTGTGAGTGAGAGAGGGAGAGAAGGAAACAATGTATTCATAATGTGTGACTGTGCAAAGACAATCTGTAAACAGATGCATGTTTTCATTTGCATAAATGCTGCTTACAAGACTGCTTTCCTTCAGTCAGTAGAGCCATGACCTCTTGGCATGATGGAACAATCCTTCTGCAGTAATGAAATGCTATGACTGGGCTTATTGTGCAGAAGCTTTTCTGCAAAACACTGCAAGGGATTTGTAGATGTTCTGATCATAATTTCTGGATTGTGGCCACTGTCAGCAATCACTTGCAGATAAAAAGTCTTTTTGGTTCTCACACAAAGTAAACGCTCCAGCACTAGATACTGTCTTCAGGGACCCACTGTAAACATGCTCTGCTCTTAGGCAATCAATAAAGAGCTATCATATTTCACAGAGTAGGGTTAGGGTTAGCTTCTTAAACTGAGCCCTGCTTGTCTAGCTAGAAGCCCAATCCTTATTCCAAACCTCAAAAGCCCCCAATGCTTGGAGCAAAAGTAGAGGTTTGAGGGGGGAAAATGTAAGCACTGATTTTGTTTGATGGAGCTTTATAATATAGCAGATCAATCATTTGATCACCTATGGATCATCTATTGAAACAGTCTTGAATATTAGAAATGTTCTCTTGCTTAATCATCTGTATTATTTCTGTTTATTCTTCTTTTTTCATATCTCCTCATCTCTGTAAGATCACTCACTATGCAATGTCACTCAGTTTACTGGCAGACAGAGTCAGGACTCTATGAAAGTGCTAGTTCAGTGTGTCAGACATGTGATAGACATGACACGGGTCAGCGGGTGTATCCACAGTATGTCAATATCATGCACACATTGTGCAGTAGAAATCCATGCATGAGAAGGCATGGGTGCACACACATTGTCTCTAAAATACATCTTAATCATTAGAACGATTGCAACACTTCATGAGGTTGTTAAGAGCTTGATATTTGATCATTATTAATTCGAGTCTTTAGAGGAGAATGTCTCAACCTCAGTGTAGGGCGACACTGACAAAGGCATAGCATTACATTTGCACGACCATGAGAAAGCATGCTCTTTTTTTCTTTCCATGCATTTACTCTACATTCTGATCCTGTTCTTTCCTGTCTTCACCCACTTTTCATTTCCCCTGCTATTTCCTTCAATATGCTGTCAAAACATCAAGTGGAGATTTGAGGGTTGTGATAATGCTGACACTGCATGTGTGTGTGCGCGTGTGCGTGTTTTAGGGGTGAACAGCCTTTGCCAGTCACTGAGTGCCAACCCGTCCATCCCCAGCAGCCTGGTCCATCTGGACCTCTCAGGGAATGTCCTCCGAGGAGACGACATGCAGGTACAAACACAGTAACACACACACAGTTTCTAATCCATCTTAGCCAGTATCAATAACACTTAATTGATTGAAACAGTTCAGTGCTGCAGTTGTGTGGAGGCTTTGTCAGGCCATTATAAATCAGCTGGCATGTCACTCTGTCGGAGGGCATCGACTCGGAACAGACACATGCACACCCATCACAGTGATACACTGTATTTGTAGCTGGACAGCAAATCATGAATGCATACAGACACAGAGGTTAGTATCATCTCTTGTTCTGTAGTAGAAGAAGAAGAAGATGGAAGATATACTTTATTAATCCCGCAAGGGAAAATTCAATGTTTTCACTGATATTATTGTTAGTATTTACACACAAGTCCAAAACACACACACATGCACAACCAGGTACCATAGCAACACACGGAGAGATGCCACTCAGTGCGGCGACCCGAGCAGTTAGGGGTTCAGGGGCTTGCTCAAGGCCTCCTTCGGCAGTGCCCAGGAGGTGAACCGTCACCTCTCCAGCTGCCAGTCCACACTCCGCAACTCTGGTCGAACCAGCAGCACTCCGGTTCCCAGCCTAATCCTTACGGACTGAGCTACTGCCGCCCCATGACAGAAAGTCAGAGAGTAGTTTGACATTGGGAGAAATACACTTATTCCCTTTATTGCAAAGAGAAGATTTATATAAGGTCAGGTATGATGTATATGAATGATGGGAGGTTTGATGTGGGAAATCAGAAATGATGGAAAATGATGAATGAGAGCAGGAAAGGGATAGTAAAGACGAGAAAACATTTAAGAAAAGACTATTAAAGTTCACAAAAGATACATACAGTAAGCAGGAGTCAAAATCACATTGTCAGTCATCATAAGCCCTCTGCTATATCCTCCAAGAGCAGTCACATCCCTAATGTGTGTTATGTTTTGCTTTATATTTAGCATTTCTACCACTTCCTGGGTCAACCCAACAGCCTGGGAACCCTTGACCTCTCCAACACTGACTGCTCATTGGACCTGGTGAGTCAGGAAGCACACAATATACATACAATATCCTGCCTTGTGCTCAATGTAAAAAAAAGTAGCTAAATTGAAAGATAATTGGGTAAAGAGAGATATGATACTGCAGGAGTTTGAATCTGTGGACCTCCCCTCAGACAAAACTTGGAAATATCTTTTCACTTCCATTCAGCGAGCCTCCCCTGAAATAGTTTAAAGCCCCCCTGGGTATCTCACTGAAAACCTCTGTGATAATGGATCAAGCATTTTTAACACAACAAGCCCTAAATAATCAGATAATTACTTTTAAACAAACAACATGTAGTTGGAGTTGTACCTCATTATACTTCATTGTAAGATTAAGAGCTAGCCATTAATATCTGTGTTGTAGGGAATGTAATCCAATTTTACACACCCACTCAATCTGTGTGCTGTCCGTTGCTTGCGAAGTAGCCTGAATACTGTATGTGATGTATTGATGTGGGTCTGAGAGCCAAATACAGCTTATTGATTAGTCTGAGATGTAGCCAGCTGTCAACCTGTCACTGAAGATATTGATTAACTCCTAAATCATGCTCTGTCTCTCTCATGTACAGTCAGAAATAAATACATTTTCTCACTGCTTCTAAACACACAATACAGACACAAAGCTTTCAGTGTTTTGTGCTTTAAACTCATTGATTATTAAACAACTTTTCCAAATAAAGTTTCAAAACCTTACAAAATCAAACAATACCTGACAGTTTATATAGCTCAGATGTGATATGTTCTGTGCATTTTCCAGGTTTGCTCGGCGCTGCTGCGAGGCTCGGTCCAACACCTCTCTGTTCTTAACTTATCAAAGAGTGTCTTCCCTCACAGGTAAGAACCTATATGGGTTGCACTAACAGTTACCTAACAAGAAGGAAAGGAAATTCATTTGTTGGGAAATCTTGCAAATGCACTTTTAAGGTACAAGGTAAATTACCTTTGGAAAACAGCTCATGCTACAGTTGGGGACAGACATTTGCATCATAGAGGATTAACAATTATAACAAAATAGTCAGAAATAACTTAAAAAGCAGTGCAACATAAGAATTGCATACAAAATCATGGCTGTAATTATGATTGTCTTATTTAAAGTAGAAATACATTTAGAATTTAGAAATGTATCATTCACCTTAAATGAACAAACTACTCATACCTGCAAAATTCTTTATTTTCATTTTCATGAATGAAAAGTAAATCTTGTACTTAAGTTTGCTCAAAAATATGTTAATCACACAGAAGTTGTTGTCTTTGAACCTCAACAGTTTAATCAAAACCAGCCATCTTTTTATGTCCCTGGTCAGCCCATCAGCCTGGTATAAGTCCTCATTATATGAGGGCTATCTTTTGATGTTTTTTCAACATGTCAACAATACATTTTGTTGTTTCCTATCATGAAACAAATGCCATGGCATGTTTTAAAAAGCTTAAAACAAAACGTGTTTCTCAAATGTATGTATGTTTTGCAGTTGTAGATCAGTCTGTACCAAGCCTGAAAAGTTTGAAAATCACACTTGAGAGGAAGTACATAGTTATCCTCCACTGCCACCTGCGTCTTTTTGTAAAATATTGAATAGCATCCCAAACCTGCTTTAATATGATGGTCATCCATCATGTGCTTACTAGAAAATGGGCTTTAGTCCATAACCCCACTCAGGCTTGTTTGTAAGTCCTTCTCATCTTGAAGTAGTACTGTCTACATCAAAGTTTCTTTATGACCTGAAATGACAGACTTGTTACTGTAGTTTCTTTTTAGGCAAATTCCTATCTGTATGTTGGTGTGTGACACCTGCTGGTAACAAAGTGCCACTACAGACAGAGTAAAGTACAGGATGACACAAGTGTACGCACACTTTTGTAAATGTGCACAATTCCAGTATGTTTACATTTGAGTGTGTGTGTGTGCAGATTTTGTGTGACAGATGGGTGGTGAGTGGGGAGTTTTCTTCCCATTAAGAGCACTAAAAGCTTAATGTTGGCTTGAATCTCTGGGCAGCTGAAGGAAGTACAGAATTGAGCCTTACATGGTGTTGGATCAAAATACCTTTAAAAATTGCCTAAAAAGTTGGTGACATTATTATATTTCCTCCTCTTTTTTAGGAAAGGCAAAGAGGTGCCTCCATCATTTAAGCACTTCTTCAGCAGTGCCATGTCTCTCAGCTCCATCAACGTGTCAGGAACCAAACTGCCACCAGAGGCCCTCAAGTGAGACAAAGATTCATTCACATTTAATGTTTCTGAGGAACGGCTCCCTCTGTCCCCCATTCTCTGTGACTGTTTTTGTACCTCATTGTCTTTTTCTACCCATATCCTAATTTAAAGCAGCAAGAATAAACTAGTCTAGGACACTGCAGCTGAATGTTTTTTTTAATAACAGTGGTATTATTGTTTTATGGAGTCTGGATATTGCCAGTGGCAAAAAATATATGCTTACAAATATAGACAAATTGAACAAAATTGAACTAATCTAGGGAAACCTTCACTAACAATGAATTGTCTACTAACATTTAGTAAAATGATAAAGTTTATATCTATTAACACCTTTAATCAACTTTACTAACATTCTTTAATTCTTTATTCTATAATTATTTTTTTATTTTAACGCTATTTAATAACATTGTTTTAGGGCTCTCCTGCTTGGCCTGGCCAGTAACCTCAGTCTGAAGGACGTGTCTCTAGACCTCAGCTGCTGTGAGGTAAGATCGATAGAGATACACTGCACAATCACTTTATTTGAAGTCGAGCTATCTTTTACATTTTGCGCATTTGTACCTGGCTTGTGGGGGATCATTCCCTCATGGCTGAACTTGGTTAGTAAGGATGCATATTTAACATTATACATAATAGGGGATCTTCATGAAAGCTCAAAATTCAGATCTGTCGAGGTATGTGCGAGGCAAGCTAGAATCTGGCAGCTATTTCACACCATGTTCAAAATGCATCCTAAATCGTGTGAACATTTAGTAGCACACTTTTTTAAATGCACGACACAGTGATGCTGATGATACTTCAGGTAAATCTGTTTAGTAAGTAGGTAGCACAGTTAAAGGACAACGCTGCAACATACGGTGACTCCTATCTTGAATAATTAAAACACTACAACCAGTGGATTGTAATGGAGGCACTGGTTTTGTTTTCTTGATTTGATTCTCCCTGTTTTTAACATTGGTGGCATTTGTATAAGTGCCATTGCCAGCTAACGTTTTGTGAGTGTCTTTTTTAATAGTTTGGAGGAAATGCTGGTCCAATGCAATCAGCTTTTTAGGGTCTACTCCAAAACCATTTGACAGGCTAGTGACACTGTTAAGAGGATGGATAATGGAATACTTGGCAGACAGCAGGTGGGGTGGAGGGGGAGAGATGAGCAGGGGGGTGGGGTTTACTTTTTGTCTCTAATTGTTTCATTACAACTCTCTCTCACACACACACACACACACACACACAGAGGCACACGCCGGCTCCTCGCCTCCATCTCCTCCCCTGCTTGAACAGGAAAAGACAGCTTGCTGCAGATTCAATGGGATTGCTAAAGATAACACATGAATGCAAATTACAGAGGAAATCCAATTCCAGATTCCCATAGAAATCTTCCCAAACGGAATCTGCGGGGGAAAATGGTGCGTTCCATCCTTCTTCGTTTGCTGGAGGCAGCCCAAAACTGTGCTCTGAGTGGGCTGACAGCATTCAAAATGAGAGTGTATGGCTCCTGCCGAGGGTGTTTGTGCAAATGTGTGTGTTGAGTGTGTGTTTTGAATAGAAGTTTGATCATTAAGCATCTGTGGGTCTTGTTGCTGCCGGTAATTGTCGGCATGGCTCTGACATGCTGTTCTCTCCCCCTAATGCTTCTGTAAGCTTGGCCATTGTGTAAGTACCAATGTGCTCACTCTTAATAATTAACATCTCACTCCTCCTCAATTTTATTTACATGCCTGTTTTGGCAGATTAATATTATGATTTGCTGCTGATCCTATTCATCTCAGGATCCATTTTTCACACAAGATGAAAAGAAGCAATAGCCCTCTACAATTGCTCTGGATGATCTGTGTTGTTTTAAACTATGTGTCAGTTTCCATTACTATGTTTACTTATATGTACCCGCAAGATATTCTTAAGAAGTCTGTCCTGCATGTTTCTATTGCTAGTTGTCTTTACTTACAAACTGAATGCATGTTTCACCTAAGAATTGTATGCTGTGTACAAACATTTGCACAGTGCAAGCTTTTGTGGAAGATCTGTGACATTTATGTTAATGTTAATCTTTGTTAGTGCAGGATTCACCAAAAGCTGTCTTATTCCAGTAGTAGTGCAGCAGACACTCTAGTTACCTGTACTGTTATTAGATGAGCAGGCCATACATTGTGTCCCATCGTTCTGGATTTGTGTTGTTGTGTGTTTAAAACTTGGCCTCCTGTCTTTCCAGTTGAGGTCAGGAGGTTCTCAGATCCTTGAAGGTTGTATTGCCGAGATCCCAAACATCTCCAGCCTAGACATCTCTGACAACGGTGAGATGGCACCTTCCATGTATGGTGTACCATATATTTGCTGAACTTTTCAACCCTAACTTCAAGTCCCCAGCATGCAACTACAAAAATAAGTCAAAGTTATCATCATTTCTAACTTATTTCTCTTCCTCCAGGCCTGGACTCAGACTTGTCCACTCTGCTGGTTTGGTTGGCCAAGAACCGATCCATCAGGCACCTCTCTCTGGGCAAGAACTTCAATAACATCAAGTCTAAGTAAGAGTACAGTATAGGAGGAGAGGGTGCACAGCTTATGTGTACAGTATAGGGCTGTGAGAGAAACCTTTGTGGTTTGGTTTGGTTGTGGCTTTGTGTGACTTAGCTTAGTTTGTTGTGGATGACCAAAGACTCCTCTATCAGATGCCAAAACATAAACAACATGAAATGGATGGCAGGGTTTAATCTTACAAATGCTGCAAGGCACGGATGTCTGTCTTCTATCCCAAGGACTGTTGTTGTCCGCTATATAATAATAATAATAAATCTAATAAATATATATAATAATAAATTGGTAGAAGTACATAGTGAAGGGGTTGAGATGTATGTTCGGTAGATATTTCTGTGCTTGAGCACTTAATCTGTTAACCTCGAAAGGTTGTTCTCTCAGTGCCTTTATCATGTTCATAATGTATATTTTATTAAACTTTTGTTCCTGTCTTTCTTCTACCTGACTTAGAAACCTCGCTCCAGTGTTGGACAGCCTGGTCCATATGATTCAGGAAGAGGAGTCGGTGAGTTTCTTTTAAATTTCCTCCTCTGTCTGGCTTCTGTGAGGCGCAGCAAATCACTGAATTTCCACCAGCTGCTCTACAACTGACCTCTGACCTCTCTATTGGAAGATGGTGTGAACATAATTCCCCAACAGTGATCAAAAGGGTTTCAGATTAAACTGAAACCATGTGGTTTATGAGAGCTGTACTCAAACGTTTACACTATTTCACTCATAGATAGGGTCAGGTGCATGAAGCTGGATCAATACTCAGGTCTAACTTTTTGTTAAATTTAATCTGGACATTATTTTAATAGTTTTGAAATAGTTGTAAAATGTATTTTGAGTTGTGGGTGAATTATCATAGAAATGTAAGTGTGGATATTCCTTCCTACTGTCAGTCAGTGTCCACAGGGGAAATTATTTAGTCATTACAAGATCCCGGGTAAGCTATCATATCCTTCAGTTGCTCTGAAAACCTGCAGTGAAATAAAGGCATTTTCTCTATATTCTAGTTTTCCTTCTCTTTTCTGTCCCTCAATCTATCTCACTCATATTATCTCTACCTCCATCATGGGAGCTGTAAGAAATTTTGCCCCAGTGCCTGCCCTGTTTGTCTCCCACAGAGGGAGATGTGGTAGATTGATGGTATTATTGAGAGTGTGTGTGTGTGTGTGTGTGTGTGTGTGTGTGTGTGTGTGTGTGTGTGTGTGTGTGTGTGTGTGTGTGTGTGCCATACATGAGAAGATTGTGTATGAGCTGGTTATCTGGCTGGGCAGTTGGGATACAAAGAGAGAATTAATGTGATAGGAAGAGGTTAAAGGTGGTAGGTCAAATAATGTTTAGTGGGGGTAGAGAGCAAGGAATAAAAGAGAATAGAGGTAAAAAAGGCAAGGTGGCAGACGATTCAGTTTTTGTAACATACTGTTGATCTCAGAGAAAGGCTGGTTGATTAAAAGTGGGTACACAGTTAACAGTGACTACCTTACAGCCACAGCTGACACGCAAACACAGATAAGTGAAGGCCTGTAGAGATAACGAGCCAAATTTTATTCAGAAGCACATTTTTCCTGTTTTACTTGTGTCTAGCCAGGATAAAAAGACACACAAAGACACAGTGCGTGACACAGCTCTCATCTGGTTGCTGGTGTGGATGAGAATTACTCCCGGCCAAGAAATAGTCCCCTGTACATGCATCACAGTTTCTTGTTTTTACACACAGATTTTTGTTTGTATTAAAAAAACAAGTATAATAAGGTTAGCATTAGAAGTGCTGGGAGACAATTTAATACCATTGGACAGAGCCAGGCTAGCTGTTACCCCTAGTTTTGTTTTTTATGTTAAACTAAGCTAACAGGCAGCTGGTTGTAGCTCCACTGAAGACATGAGAGCAGGACCAGTCTTTCCCAAAAATGCTGAACTATTCCATTAATCAACAGAAAGAAAACCTTACAAATAAAAAAACAACAATAATTAAGAACATTGGCAGTGTGTGTTTTTTTTTATAGAATAAAATACAATATCAGATGTTAATCAACAATACATTTATGGAGAAAAATAAAATGGGAATCTGCAAAACCAATTTCAGAAATCTCCAACATTGCTATTCTTGCAAATGTGTAATAATTAATCTGCCATATTTATTCCTTATAGCAACTACAGCATATTCAAAACCACAGCTCTGAACCTTGATGATTATCAGGCCATTCTTGAGAATGTTATGGTTTGTAGATGGCAGAGAATATGCAGAAGAGGTGGAGAGTGTGTGAAAGAGAAAAAAGTTGAGAAGAAGAACTGTACAACACTAATTTCTCCTGCGTGACAATAATAACAATTTTTTACCGTTTGAGAAATAGCAATCAGTGAGAGCAACAGCATCCACTCTGTCCAGCTATTACGGACTGTAGTGGAGAGATTTAATGTTATGTTGCTGATCAGGATACATGAGTTTCATCAGAATATTAAACACAGTCCACGTTTAATGGACATACATTAAATGGATTAATTTGTCTCTGGGTAAGGTCACCTGGATTTGCGTGTCTTCTTGCATTCTCATGTTCTTGCTTTTATTAAAGAAGACGTGTACGCACACCCAGAGCAATGTTGTCATTATTTTAGTGATTAATAAGGGAAGAAGATCCAAGCTGTATGTATGGGACTAATTAATTTTGTCTGTACAACACACAGATGTTGCTATTCTATACTGCTGCAACCAGATGGTATTGGTGCATTGTGTTTCTGTGCTAGTAGGGCATTTAGCTGTTAAAAACAGCGGGTTACATAGTGACAGAGGACCGTGGCTACTGGTCCATAAACTTATACCTCTTTAAATTTGCATGTTTAATGTGCGCTCAGTGCCCCTCTTCAGCCCATGCAGGCAGTAAATAATTCCCTTTATCCTCAGACACAACATAAAAAAGTAATTTTCTGTCTTTATAACCATGTTGATACTAGTCCTCCACACACTAATCACCACGCTGCCTGTAAAATACCCCTCACTTTATCACTATCTCAAAGACAAAAGCTTCATTAGAGGGGGAAATACTTGTTAGCATCACAGCTCACACATCATTCATCACTCTGTTGTCTGTATTTTTAATGGAAAAGCACACAAACTTATGAACTGTGGGTTTAATCTTGAATTCCTTTCCTTATTGTCTCTGACCAGTCAGGCGTTCAACTATAAAAACCAGTGAGCTAACAGAGTTTGTACTGTTAAAAGCATGACATGTTAATGTTAATCCATGTGGAGGCGAGAGTCTCCTACTCAGAATCATATTTAGATTTTGCCCTGTTCCTACGTTATTTTCTTGAGAATTTCAGTTGACACACATATACTAAACATGAAGTGTGGTGATGCTTTTTCACACTGGATTTAGTTATATTTTCAGGTAGCTGCAATCTACCAACCAAATCAGCCATTAAACTGATTTCCATCCAACAACACATTTTTCACACTTCTGTATTTGTTTAGATTGAAAGTAGCAGTGATGGAAAGTAAAATAAAGTACATTTTCTGAAGTACTGTACTTGTAGCCTACTTTTGTTATATATTTAATGCTGCTTTATACTTTTACTCCAATACAGCTGTAGTTAATTTGCAGATAGCAATTTTAAAAACCAATAACAGGCATATATGAAAAAACCCAACAATATATGAAGTGAGTAAACCACATCCTGCTATGACATTAAAATGCAGTTTACATTTAACAACAACGACATCAACAACAACGTAGAATATATATATAATGTGACACGGAAAGAGCCCATTTTTGGTCTGAGGAATATTTCTCACAGACAGCTGAGATATTTCAAGTATCACTACTTCAAGTATTCAAATACTGAGCAGGTGACTTAGGAGTCCACTGCACTGCCTCTAACTTCTTTCAGACATAGAAGCTACTTTCAGCATGCTTTGCAACTTACTCTTAGACCAAAAACTTAAGAGCCCTAAAATTGCCACTGACATGCTCCCTATTTCTAGGAGTTTCTCCTAACTCAGCCAGTCAGGAGCTGCCTTAATCCTCAGCATGTTTTGTGAAGACAGCCCCCAGGAAAGTCCAGCTGTGTAAATGGCACGCATCATAGAGCAGCTCTCTTGGAGTGAATAGATGGACGCTGCTGGACATTTGTAAACCCTCGTATCACTCTCGCATCACAAAGAAATCCACTTGATCCAGGGCAAATTTTTTTTATTCTGCCCTGTGGAGTTTTGAATGGTAATTTCAGAGAAGTCTCTTGCTGGTCCGTTTGATCCTGTGATAAATGTTTTATTGGGGTTTTATAATTATTGCTAATTTGCTAAAGATGAAGTTGGAGGACAGGACCAAATGAAAAATGTATTGCCTACTAATGACAGTAGTCTAGCTAATCTGCTAGACTACTAAAAAAATAAGCCTTTTGTTTTCATTGATTTAAAAAAGCTTCACAAAAATTTTGTAATGGTGTCAAAGTTGCTATGTGCTTTGACAGTCATACCCAACTGCTTGCTCACACTTTCTCTAAGGAAGTGCCAAAGATCACAGGAAGGAAGGAAACGAATAGAGACAGCATTAAGCCAGATAAACAGACATAGGGAAACTAATATTCCATGGATAGTGAATAAATTCAAGGACAGAAAAACAAGCTGGCACCCACTAAAGGAATATTAATGCTCTCAATTACATAAATTACAATAGCTTTTGTTGAAGTTGGCAGTGATATACAACAAGGGCCAATAAAGCTCCTTTTAAAGGCTTGCTGGTGATGCCAAACACAGAGAAGTGGACCCTGCAGGTGGCAGATAAACTGAAGACTGTCCTGCTTTCCCATAACACTGTCACAAACCAGATATAACAGTCAAAGTAAGATTGCATTTTACCCCTTATTCTTATAATATAAACCCTATCAAACGCCTTTTCCTTTTCTCCTCCTCCCACATGTACACATCCTTCTCCCTCAATTCCCCCTCCTCCCCCACAGCCCCTCACCTCTCTGTCTCTAGCAGATTCCAGACTAAAGAGTGATCTGACCATTGTTTTGAACGCACTCGGCAGCAACTCCTCGCTCACCAGGTTAGACATCAGCGGGAACGCCATGGGGGACATGGGAGCCAAGATGCTGGCCAAGGCGCTACAGATAAACTCCAAACTCAGGTGAGTACATGTTCAGAAGTGAAAGGCTGTGTCACAAGTGGCAATTATATAAATAACAAATAAATGTTACCTCACTAGTTAACCTATTGGATCCTGTGCAGCCCTGGATGGAGGTTTCAGACTTGTAGTACAAGTCTACTATTAATAATTTGACTTGGTACTGTACAGTGGATCCAGTGTGTATCAAATGACTGCAGGTAACTTCAGCCTGTAAGGAAAGGCAAAGCAACTTTTAGAAACAGGGGAAGTGCTTTACATGGGGTATAGAAATACATTACATCAACAACAACAATCACAATAAGGACAAAATAAATTGGTACTCCCTAGCATTTATAAGCACTACTATGAACAATATATAAGGATTAATCAACTTAAAACATCCATAAAGCCCATCCATCCATCCATCATCAACCGCGTATCCTGTGTACAGGGTTGCGGGGGGGCTGGAGCCTATCCCAGCTGACATCAGGCGAAAGGGAGGGTACACCCTTGACAGGACGCCTGTCCATCGCAGGGCCACACATAGACAAACAACCAGTCAAATTCACAACTTCCAATTAACCGAGCCGTAAAGTGTTATTAGTAATTTATTAAATTATTTGTTTACATAAATGCTAAATAGGGAGGGTTGAGTAAGTGTAAACAGATGAAATGAAATACCAATAGACACAAATAATAATACACTAGAAATAAACATATAGTGCACTTATATATAGACAGTTTTATATTAGTATGAGTTGCTTTATATTGTGTGGTCACAAAGCTTGCCAGCAAGTAGCTAAAGACTAATGGCATTCACAATCACCTTAAGGGGAGACACTGGAAGAAATTTAGTTAGCTTCTGCGACTGCACCTTCCTGTAAAAAAAAATTGACACAACATATTTTCATATTGCCTCTTGGTTGTCAGTAGATGGCAACTAAAATTTTTAGATCGTTGTTAATTCACTAGCTCCAGCTTTGCTTGTGTCACATGGTGCGTTTCTCTGTGCAGGACTGTGATCTGGGATAAGAACAACACCAGCCCTCAGGGTCTTCAGGATGTAGCAGCCGCTCTGGAGAAGTAAGGAGCTCTGTCTGAACCTGCGTCTATTACTTTATGCTGATGATACCTTTTTTCTAACAGTATAAACACGCTGGTGTGGCGGTGAAGGGATGGATGTGTGGTTAGTTGTTACAGCCCAGATGTTTTTCAGCTTTGTGCTGAGCTGGAGGAAACCTTGAGGTGTGTTCAGACAGGAAGAGAAGGAGAGAGGGTGAGCGGAAGGAAACCAGAGAGCGACAAACACAGTGAATACAACAACAAAGAAACAAGGGCGGAAGAAAATATGCTGAGGAAGGGAATGTTAGAGAGAGAGCAGAACAGATTAAGCGAGACAAACAGTACAAGTCGACTGTCTTCTTCTGTGGATGTGAATGTTCAATATTCTGTGTGTGAGCGTGAAATGACGTGCATCGAAGTAAATTTGCTTCTGGGACACATCTGCACACCCACCTCTCTCATCTTCCTTCTCTGTTTATCATATTCTCCCAGAAGCACATCTAACCATTTCCCCCTCTGAGTCTCTGTATTGCATTATTGAAATAACATTTACTTTTTTTTCTTGTTCCTGTTCTGTATTCTGTTCAGCAGTGGTGTGTGTGTGTGTGTGTGTGTGTGTGCGCGCGTGTGTGCGCGCATTGTTGTTCCCTTCAGGCAATTCCCTCATGTCTCTTGTGTTCTTTTTGTCAGAAACTGATTCATAATGCTTGATTTTACATTCTTTAGAGGATTTCCCAGACTTCAAATCCTGCTATATAATCTGCGCAAGTGGACAGGAGATTAGAGAAAGTATGCAAAGTCTCCTATATTCACCAAAAAGAGAGTTACAGTTTGAATGTCTTTCAGCCGTTACAGAATTAAAGGACCTAATTTAAAGCTCGATAGTTTAATAAGATCAAATATGATAAGGAAGTGCATGCAATGGGATACAAAACAGGGTTCATATAATATTCCAAGCAGAGATTAAACCATTAGTCAAATAATTGATTAGCAGATCAACAAAACATGAAACAATTTTGATAATTGCTTAATTTTTTTTTATTTTTATAAACAATGCCAACCATTCTATTTTGTTGAAGCTTGCTGCTTTTCTTCATCTTATGTGATATTAAACTAAATATCATTTGGGTTTTAAACTTTTCATTGGATTGTGTTTTTTTTGTAATTGAGAAAGTAGATGTATCAAAAATGGACATAATTATTAGTTACAGCTATATTCTATGTTTTATTATCACATATGCTTCGGAAAACATAAAAACAACTCATCAGTCTTTCAACAGCATTTTTGTTGTAGTTCTATTTAACAGGTGGTGATGGAGGCTGTAGTTTGTAAGAACTTGAAGGACTCTGCTGTGTTCACAGCAGGTCTGTGAGTTCAAGAGAGGAAGAAGAGAGCAGATGGGTTCATACAGAAGTCAAATCTTCATTAGTGATGCCGGCATTTTGCCTGCTGTCCGTGGTGCTTTGCTGTGGGGCTTATAGTGAAGCCAGGCATATCTGAGTAAAGATGAATCAGTTTACCTTTGAGGGTGAATACCATCAACATCTGACTTTGCCTCTTGCCTTTCCTTTGCCTCCAAACACCCTCATTTCCATCTTTCTGTGCCTTCTCCTTTCCGCTCTATTGTTTTCATTCCCTCTTGTATTTTGTTCTTATTCCTTCTTCCCCTCCATCATGATATGAATATTAATGCTCTGGTGACCTCTATTTCAAGATCTTAAACATCTCTAATGGTGCCAGTTCATTGCTCTCTAATAGACCAATGTGAAATTACCAGTGAATGTATCAAGAAAAACCACAAGTGGGTGCATTCCACTATATGTTTAATATTGTACCCTGAACCCTGCATTATACTATATCTGTGTTCAAATGCATCACTTCCCTTCATGTTTATTGAAATAACTGTGTTTGCCCCTGTGTCTGTACACCTCTATTCACACATTTGCCTCTATCCCATCCTCTATATTGTGACCTAACTGTGCTGTGTGTCCATTAGGAACTTCACCATTCGTTTCATGCCCATCCCTATCATTGATGCCTCCCAGGCTCTGAAGGCCAGCCCTGAGAAAACAGAGGACGCCTTGCTAAAGGTACGCAAAGAACTCTCATTCGTTCATCCAGTCTCCAGCTGTCCTGTAATAGTGTTGCAGGATTTGTGTTCTTCTTTTGTCAGAAACTGATTCATAATGCTTGATATTACATTCTTTAGAGGATTTCCTAGACTTCGAATCTGCTAATTCGCTACATAATCTGCGCAAGTGGACATTTTCAAGTATTCAAAGTGTCCTATATTCACCAACAAGAGAGTTACAGTATGAATGGACCTCATTTAAAGCTCAATAGTTTAATAAGATCAAGATGATAAAGGAAGTGCATGCGGTGGGATACGAAGAGATCAGGGTTCGTATAATATTCCAAGCAGAGATTAAACCGAATAGCAGATCGAAAAAACATGAAACAATTTTGATGAATTTCTTGCCATTTTTTATAAAAAATGCCAACCATTCTATTTTGTTGAAGCCTCTGAATTCTCAATTCTCATTGGTTCCTCCCGCCTCCAGCTGTCCTGTAATAGTCTTGCAGAATTTTTATAGTGTTGAAAACATGCTGTATGCAACATCATTATCAATTTGCTTTATTATCATGATGTTGGGTTTGTGTTTTTCCCCTGCAGATTGAGAATTATCTGTACAGGAACCATGAAACCAGAAAATACCTACAGGAACAGGCCTATCGGCTGCAGCAGGGCATCGTAACCACAACCACACAACAGGTATGTAAACAAACTGATAGAAACACACACACACACATAATCAGTTCAACTATAATTGTTTATAAATGAGATAGACTGTACCAAATATAGTAAATAGTACATTTGATACACAATTGCACAGTCAGGAGAGTATTTTGTTAAACCTGAAGAGAAAAAAGGGACTAATTTTAAAGCTCATACTTATTGCACCCTTTGTTTTTTTTGTAATCACACATTTACATTCTGTAAAGACGAATCTGTGTTTCATAAATAGTGTGTCTCGTCACTATTGTATAGTTATTACTGTTTAGGTGTATCAGTATCACTCCAAAACATCACACACATAGGTGAGACATGCCACAGAACTGAAAATATCTCTTATATATTCATATTAGGTATTGAACGTATAACATTTAACCCTAGAGCCTTTGACATTTCAAGCATAAAGTTGTCTTGTTTTTGTATTTCAGATGATTGAAAGGATTTGTGTGAAGGTGCAGGACCACCTGAACTCTCTGAGGAACTCGGAGACAGACGCCATCTTGGAGGACGTCAGGTCAGCTGAGAACCTCATCAAAGATGCCAGGAACTCTAAAACGGTAAGGAGAGACATATACATGGGCTTTGCTGGAGCATGTAAATGAAAAGGTTTTATTTATAAACATTGGGAAATTACTTTTCTAGTAGTTTCCTACATCCTTTCTTTCATTCATATATCCCCCCATTGTCCTCCTCTCTGTGTCTCCCCAGCTGCTCCCTAACCTCTACCACCTAGGATCAGCTGCCAGAGAGGAGGTGAACAGCTCGTCAGTGGGACCCATCCAGGAGAAACTGGAGTCTATGGCTGGGGAGGTGACTACTGTCATGGACCAGCAACTGCAGGTAGGGCTGTAACTTTTACTCCAGAGATGATGGAAAAATGGTTAGTTAAACTATGAATCGTAACCAACAAGACATATATTTGTTAAGTTGTGTTTTATTTTATTTTTTGCCAAATACCTGAAATCTAATCCTACAAAGTAGTCAAAGTGTATCATACACACATTATTTCACATAAAGGATATGTGGTTTACAGAGTGTTTGTGATAAATAGATAGACAATAGGCACCACCTACAGATCATGAAAGTTAACCAGCAGAAAAGGCATCAATGCAAATTTAAGAAAAAATTGTATAAGGGATCACTGGGAATTTAAAATCATAAATATCACAGAAATGAGCAATTCTTCACCACAGTGAAGAAACAATATTTGATATATTGCCACATTCAATGTGTAACAAATGTCTGAACGTTTAACAGTACCTGTCATGTACATAATTGCTGGTGGATTATCACACTAAGATGTACACTCACTTTGTCAGCCAGGAGTTTCTTTAATTAAAGCCCTCATCACACGCATTAACGTCCATCCATCTCTTATCTTCACTTCTCCAGACTCTGTTGGAGTCTATGGTGGATGCAGCGGAGTCTCTGTGTCCCCATGTGATGAAGAGATGTAATCTTCGTCCAGAGCTAATAAAAGCCAGCTCAGCCAAGATGGTGGTACCAAAAAGCTTTGTCACCAAAACCCTCCTGGAGCAGTCTGGGGTGGATATTATCAACAAGATCAGGTGTGTGTCGGTGCATTTGGGGGTTGAAAAGAATGATATATACCTACATGTAACTGTGGATTTTTATAGACAAATCACTGAGATCTTTCTGTGGTTGTGTTTGGGTCTGTAGTGTGTATTTATCTTGTACCAGTCTGGCTTTGCTGCCTGACCATCACTCTCCTGTTCTCTCTGTCAGTGAGGTGAAGCTGAGTCTAGCGTCCTTCCTGTCCGATCGCATTGTCGATGAGATTCTGGAGGCTCTTTCCACTTCCCAGCTCACTCTAGTAAGATTAAAGTCAAGCTCTCAGCTGGCTCATTGATTCATTCACTTGCTAATTTCAGCCCTCCGAATTGTTGAAACATAATTTCAACTTTAATTGAACCTATTTTCAAGTTTCAGTTTTGCCACTTCTTTTGTTAGCCATAGTGCTTATTTTAGGGTTAGAGTTTTTACCCTATTTTCATCCTTCTTTTAATCTTCCCCTTTCTCTACTTTCTCTCCTCCACTCATAATTCCTCCATTCTCAACTCCCTTCTTCTCATCCCATCTTATCACTCCTTTTCTCTGTTTACCTTTCTTTTCACTTGCCTATCTAAATCTTCTCTATCTTATCTTTCTTCTCTTCCTTTGTTTCTTCCCACAACCCTCTGCTGCCTGTTTTCCCCTCCCCTCTCATCCTCACAGGCAGACCATCTGGTGCGGCGGGGTCGCCCCTTAGTGCAGCAGGAGTCGGTGGATCTTGACGTCCCAGAGGAGAAGATTCCTAAACGGGCATCTGCAGAGATACTGGAGGCTGAGAGGCTGGACGATCTAGAGACCTGCATGGTAGGTTCGCGTGAATAACGGATATGTGTGCCTGTGGGTCTGATTTATGATACTTTCGGGGACAGACTAAAGACCAGTTGATTGTGTACGGTTTGTCCATCTGGGGAGAAAAGCCATGTCCCCATTTCAGAAAAGGAAGATTTCTCGGCCAGTGTTTAAGGGTAAGGAAAGTAGTGGTTTTGGTTAGGGTAAGTCTCCAGGAAATGAATGCAAGTCTATGTAATAACCCCAAAAGTGAACATGTGTGTATGTGTGTGTGTGTGCACGAGTATGTATGACCTACTTTGAGCCCATTAGGTTAGTTTTAACTATACATGATTTAATTTGGGAAGAATCAACACAAGTTGTCTTAATTGCATTAACCATGTCTGGGTTTGCAGAGTGGTTCTGTTTTATGATTCATAATTTAGCTAATTTGTTTTTCTTGAGACTGGTTTTACAGTAAAATTAATTCATTAAAATGCTATCTATTCATTCTGTCCTGCCACCAAAATTAAACAGCAAGTTATTTGTATTACGCAAATCAATTATACCTGGTTACCATTTGCTGCTTGTCAATGACAAGATATTGACAGCAATTGATGATTGATTTTGGTATTAACTCTCTTGTTGTTAGTAAACTGAACCTTGTGTTGCTTTCGAACTGGCTGTTCAGGTTGGCTTATACGTACTATATGAGGGCAGATGTGTATGGAGACATGCCTGAGTCTAACAAGACCAAAGTTTCATGTTTCCTTCTACACATAAAAATGTCAGATTTGATAGATTCTGACATTTATATGTGTAGACGTGAAGTATTAGTTATATTCTCTAGGACTGGGAAGATGGAAAGAGGGGTGGATACTAAGGGAGAAGGAAACATTTGACCCAAAGATGGAAAGAGATCAATGTTCTTATCTACAATGGCCCAAGTGTATTCTACCTTTGTGAAAATGTCATGGGTGTGAGGAATGGTTGTTTTTTATGTAGATTTGTTGTAGAGAAGTATAGTATTGAAATGAAGTATAGTATGAGACTTGATATAATGATATGTGTGACTTGTAAAGTAAATGCAGGCTGCAGTCAGCAGGAAGCTGCACAGTCTTCTGTCTCTGGTCCTGTCTGTCTCCGGTGTCTTATCCCCCTTTTCGTCTCATATATTCCCTCTCTTCTATTTACCTCTTCTTTCTCCAGGGCACATTTAGAGTTCATGGCTGTCCCAACTATCTTTCATTTTTGCCTACACTAGGCCTTACTGTGTGTTGTCTTCATCCTCTTCTTTTCCTCTGTTCTTCCTTCTCTTTCCATCTTTGCTCCATGGAGATGTTGTGCTGCACCAGTGTAAGTAATTCTGGGCTGTCCTTCCACACTCTCCTTTCAATCCACTTTCTTTTCGTCTTACTGCTTCTTCCTTTTTCTGTCTCTCCTCACTGTGCCTGCCTGCTAGACAAATTCTCTGTGTTCTAGCTTTTTCTATAGCACAAAGAGTCTTCTGTATTCAAATGTTTGATCCCTAGGATTTATTTTAAAAGATAAAGTAGAAAAATTAGGATGCATTTATCTATCACTTCCTCACTCACTCTCCGAATTATATTTCACATTGTTGAATGATGGCAATTGAAAATGTATATTCATGTTTTTTTAATGCATCCAGCCACATTGCACTGCTCCTCTCCACTCAATGTCAGTCATCACCGCCTTGTAAATGTGGATCACAGTACAATATAAGATGCAACGTGTGGGTGATACTGTGTTTACTATCTACAAATGTATGGAGAATGTATGAAGGAGACATATAATTAGTTGTATGTTCCTTCATAACCCAGCTGTCCTAATTCTCTCAATTTATATTTTAGGATGCATAATGAAGAAAATATGTATTAATTGAATTAACCAGTGTGCCTTGTTAACCTTATTTAACTTCCTGTATATCAAGATGTATCAAGGTGCCTGTGTTCTAGCTTACAGAAATTCTACATTCTTACAGAAAAATAAGTTGAGATAATTACCTTTACAGTTTGTTAATTATATAATCTAATTATATTTAGACTGATTTTGATTAATTGCAATCTCGCAGACTTTGAAATGTAGTGTGGTTACAAGCATACTGTGGACATAATAATAATAATAATAGGAACCCAGGATCCAACAGCCACGGAGTTAGCTTGTTGCTGATAAATCATATGATTTTTGTTCATTTATTCTCCCTGGGTGTTTTCTTTTTGAAGAACAAACATGGCTTATCAAACTTCAAGCTCAATCAGCCGTACATGATTTGAAATGACAGTTATGATATGATGTTACCACATATATGTTATTTGATTTGATCTATTCCTCTTTCAGATGACTCCTAAATCCAAGAGGAAGAGCATCCACAGCAGAATGCTTCGGCCAGTATCCCGTGCCTTTGGTAAGAACTTTTGTTTTTTTTCTTTCTTTTTTTAGTTCAGTTCTGTAAAATAGTACATTATATGTCTGCTTTGTACTATATAATTATAAAATAAAATAATTCCTCAATACTGATGCTGCTTAGATCTGATGGCAGGTGAGAGAACACTTGAACATTCGATGTATGTATCTAATTTCAAACCCCCTAATAACCGTCCAACTTACAGAGATGGAGTTTGACCTGGACAAGGCCCTGGAGGACGTCCCTATCCATGTGGAGGACACTTCAACTTCATCTCGAACTCCTCCCACTCCATCTCAGGTGCTGCCAAAAGTGGAGCAACGTCCATCAGGGGTGATGGTAGAGTTACCGTCTGAGGAGGAAAAAAAGCTGCAGCACTTCACCAAACAACGACCCCGCCGGAACAAGAAAACACATTCCAGCAAAGTACCTGTGAGTAAAGCTTTACGGGCAGAGGATTTTTCATGCTCAGACATTAGTAGCCCTAAAAGATGCAGGATCAAATTTTAATTAAAATACTCATATGCACAGAAACAGTACTACTACTGTTTGTCAGATGGTCTAGACATGGTATAAGATTCTTCAACTTCCTCTTTCAGCAAATCAATAGTGCACCATCTCAGGATGGTGAGCAGAATGGCCTCATGGGAAGGGTGGATGAGGGTGTGGATGAGTTCTTCTCTACGAAAGTCACCAAGATGGATTCCAAGTAAGCATTATGGTTTATGTATAATTTTCTGCATTTACATTCTTTTCCAGTAGAGATGTATTAGAGTGTACTTGTTGTAATATTTATTGTACTCACCTCCTATATATTAAATATGTTAAGTCTGTTGTCCTTCTGTCATTTTGTTCTTTTGTTCTGTCTCCTCCCAGACGTTCCCTGAAGAGTTCAGAATCTCAGGATGGAGAGAAGAAGAAGAGTAAAGGAGGATTCCTCAACCTCATCAAACGTTCCTCCAAGTTAGATAAATCTGATAAATTGGACAAATCAGATAAGTCTGAGAAAAACCAGGGGAACTCTCCTGCGTCAGGTACATCCTCGACGCCAGCTTCCATCCCTGAGGAGCCCTCCTCGCCAAAGGTTGCAGTGAAGAGCCCAGCACCTGAACCAAAGTCCAGGTAGAGAAACTGAATTATTTCTGTTATAGAACAATAGATTACCCTCTAAGTCAGTATCAGAGTACCAGTCAACCCCCAATTCACTAATAAGTCCTGTCTTTACTGCAGAGATGCCTCCAGCCGCTCACAGCCCGCAGATTACAGCAGCAGCTCAGACCGCTCAGAGGAGCTGAGAACGCCGGACTCGATAGACGAGCCATGGGAGGGTTCGGACGGCAGGGGCAGTCCTCAGGGAGGCAGGCGGTACCCAGGGTTGCAGATAATGGGCAGCGGCCTCCTGGCAGAGATGAAGGCCAAGCAGGAGAGGAGAGCACACAAGGTGAGGCAATGTGTGTAAGCACTGGGGGTTACAAGAAAGAAGGGAAAGTAAGGACAGATGGGAGACTTCAACTTGTGGCAAAGGTCTTGTGCCTGATTTGAACCTCAAAGGACAAGATGATCATGCTGACTCCCCACATTAAATACTAATATCCTGCACTAGCAACATTTGTAGTCTTCAGTCTTCTCCAGACAGTTACAAAATAGGCTTGACAGTTCATTCTTAACATTGCAAACAGCAGTTGACAGAAAAAAAACGTAACTCAAGGTCAAAATACTCCCTTATTTTAGAGCTTTTCACCATATGACATGGTCCTTTACGTTTACGTCAACATGATGAGGTGCTAGAGTTACTCAGACTCATGGTTCAACATGTACATCAAACTCAATCTGCTGATGAAGACATGCTGATGAAGCTCCACAACAAGCAAGTTCGAGTTGAGGTTCTTTTCAGAAAACTATTGCAAAAACAAATACAGTAAACATGGAAGAAAAAGAAGACCAACAGAAAGAGAGTTTAAGTAATAAAGTACACTAAAAAAGAAACTATAATATGATCAAATTTCACACACAGGGATTGCATTCCTTGCAAGAGATTCAAAAGTTTAGTGATTACCTTTGCACTGAAGACATCCATCTGTTCATAAAACGGAAGATCCAATTATCCAACTCCTTATTGAAGCTGCATTTAATCCATGTATTGTTTATAATAATAATAATAATAATAAAGAGAATCTAAAAGAAAATACAAAAATAAGGTTTATGGTTTTATGGGGAGATGCTTGGTTTAGTAAGGACACTTTTTGTACATGGACACAGCCCTTTAGGTGTTCACTTTACACTTGTCACAGCTGTTTTGTTCAACACTCACCCACTGGATTCCAGCTGAGAGAGTGCACAAAAAAAGTAGCGTCTACACACACACAGATGCTGAGACTTGTGTTTATCTTCAGGCAAGTCATTGCGCCTGTCAACATGTTGACACGAAAACACAAACAACCCTGATTTTCTGCCAGACGACAAGAAGAAGGGGGCGGGGGTGGGGGGGTGGGGGGTAGAGTGGAAGAGATGCAAGCAAATGGACAGAATGAAGACAAAAAAGAAAGCTGATATGCAAATTCTGTCATGACTCACAACAGTACATAAATGTTAAATCCCTGTTATATCCTCAGTTTCTACACCTCCTGTGCTAGCTTTGCTACATTTACGTGCTCATTTCCTGAAGAAGTGTGATTGAAGGGGAAATAACAAATATCCCCATTTCTTTGTAATTTGTTAATCTGTGGAGTTGGTGTTGGCCCCTGAAAGTGTGTGTTCACTAGATGTGAGTAAGTGCTTTATGGTGTATGCAGCATTAGGATTTTTTCTGACCTTGTATCAGTAGCACTAAAACCTCCCCTGCCATCTGCTTGTTCTGGCTGGGTTCCAGGTGTGTGTGTGTGTGTGTGTGTGTGTGTGTGTGTGTGTGTGCACTTACCAACCTATCTAACAGTGGACCTCGACGTCGTTACACACCCACTAAGAGGGGACTAAAAAGTGAACAGGGGACATTTTTTAGGTCCCCTGTTGGACATGCTTTAAATCATGCTAAAATCATGTCTAAAACCATCTGGTAAATTTTTTAAACTATTGTCAAGAGGGGACCTGCAGGTGTGTGAGTGTTTAAGTCCATACTCAGCAGTGCCTCTAGTGGATCAAGCAAAGATTTTAACGACTCATTCACACACGTCGTTCTTAACACTCCCCTATAGAGTGAATGGCTTGCAGCCCCAGGGAGTCTATCAGACTGTAGAGGGGCTATTATACAAGCTACTCAGTAAAGAAAGCTGTCACTTGAAACACAATTTCTTAATTTTTTCTAACAAAATATACAGGCTGAGTTTTAGTGGATGTCTTGTGTTTTAAGATCAACATTGTATTAAAATACAGGGCTACACTGAAGGCCTGGAGAATTTTAGATTCTAAATAAGGGAACAAAAATAGAAAAACAGCCAGGGTAGAATTATAAATAAAATGGTCAGTATAAAGATACTTTTATGGTTTTAATTCATTATAAAAAATGAATGAATTAATAAAAAATTATTTGACATTTGTTATCTAGAGATTTTAACTTGTTCAGTCGCAAAATACTAACCTGACCAGATTTCACAAGCACTGGACATCAATACTTTTTTTCCCCCCATTATATTTGTGTGCTTAGTCTACACTTAAAGATATGCATTTCATTTATTGATTTGAATTACAGAAAAAGGGACCACACTTGTACTGTGTGGAACGACAGGAGTCCACTGTTCGCTTGTAGATGATGACACAAGTTCCCTCTTAGATAGCATGGAGCGATAATCACACTCCAACTTGTGTGAAAATAATAAATAAGCAAATTTAATCATACTTTTGAGACAAAATAAACTAACTAAATAGTCTCTTTATTTTCTATACATTCTTTTGAAACAAAATATAAAGGCTGAGTTTTAGTGGATGTCTTGTGTTTTAAGATCAACATGTATTAAAATAAAGGGCTACACTGAAGGCCAGGAGAGTAAAATGAATTGTAGATTCTAAAAACCGGAACAAAAATAGAAAAACAACCAGGGTAGAATTAGAAATAAAATGGTCAGTATAAAGATACTTTCTTTACGGTTTTAATTAATTATAAAAAAAAGTATTAATTAATAAAAAAATATTTGACATTTGACATCTAGAGCTTTAAACTTGTTCTGTCCCAAAATACTAACCTGGCCAGCTTTCATAAGCACTGGACATCAATAAAAAAAATTTCATTATATTTGTGTGCTTAGTCTACACTTAAAGATATGCATTTCATTTATTGATTTGAATTACAGAAAAAGGGACCACACTTGTACTGTGTGGAACGACAGGAGTCCACTGTTCGCTTGTAGATGATGACACAAGTTCCCTCTTAGATAGCATGGAGCGATAATCACACTCCAACTTGTGTGAAAATAATAAATAAGCAAATTTAGTCATACTTTTGAGACAAAATAAACTAACTAAATAGTCTCTTTATTTTCTATACATTCTTTTGAAACAAAATATAAAGGCTGAGTTTTAGTGGATGTCTTGTGTTTTAAGATCAACATGTATTAAAATAAAGGGCTACACTGAAGGCCTGGAGAGTAAAATGGATTTTAGATTCCAAAAAAAGGAACAAAAATAGAAAAACAACCAGAGTTGAATTATAAATTAAATGATTAGAGGTAAGATACTTTCTATTCAGTTTTAATTAATTGTTAAAAAGTATTTCACATAGACTTTGACTACAGCTTTAAACTTGTTCAGTCCTAAAACACTAAACTGACCAGTTTTCACAACCACTGAATGTCAATACATTTTGTCATCATATCTATGTGCTTAGTCTACACTTACAGAAATGCATTTTATTTATTGATTTGAATTACGGAAAAAGGACCACACTTGTACTGTGTGGAACGACAGGAGTCCACTGTTCTCTTGTACATGATGACACAAGTTCCCTCTTAGATAGCATGGAGCGATAATCACACTCCAACTTGTGAGAAAAAAATAAATAAGCAAATTTAATCATACTTATGAGAAGAAACTAACTACAGAGTGTCTTTATTTGGTATAATCTGTTATTGTAAGAAAATATAAAGCCTGAGTTTTTATTGAAGTTATTTTCAACAAAATACAAAGGTTGAGTTTTAGTGAAATTCCTAAATTGTTTCAAGCTTCAGACTACTAAAATGATAGACTACCCAGTAGACAGCAGAATGAGTATTTTAAAAGCACAAAAAGTGAAAGTAAAAACAAAATGAATACAAAGGTCAGCTGCAAGATCTCTTCATTTTTAATCAATGGATTTAATGCTGTTAATTATCATGATACATGACCAGTGTTTGTATGTGTCCTAAATCTATATTTAGGAAGTTGTTGCTCGCAAACACATTGACAACAGACCTGTCTGTCAATTGAATAGTTAGTTTCCTAAACACCGCTGCACAAATCTATCCAACACAATGTTGTCAATGTCGGAGACCCACCTTCAAAAAAGTTATCAGCAAGCATGTAAGGAGCCTAGCTAATAAGGATAGCTATGTTAGTTTTGAATACAGCTGTCAAAGTTAGAACGCTGTGCATAACTGGTAGTCAGTAGGTTGGCCGAGATGAGCTACTTTTGTACAGTTGAAATCACATCATGTCGAAACTAAAGTGTGAAATGTTGAAAAGGTTAGTTTAGCTACAAATGAACAAGTTCATATGTGCGTGTTTAGGTTTTATGATGTGGTAATTAAGGGGCTAAATGAAGCCTGTCTCTGAAAAATTGAAAATCTTTCTAAAATGCTTCGGCAGTACATTTGTTCTTAGCCTTAGAGAAAGGTCCACAGAGACATTCAGACACACTTTACAAATAATATGAAATAAGCAAAATGGACAATTCGAAAATTATTATCTAAACCAAATATATAAGCTGTAGTGTTGTTTTTGTTTTTTAGAAAAGTGTCACCAGCAATGTTCTCATTGTAGCTTTTTGAAATGTGGGGTTAAACATTTGTTGGCGAATAGAGAAGCATATTTGAGGGCTGTCAAATGGTGCAGCATCGTAACAATGGAACTTAGAGTTTGCATCAACTGGAGAACACACAACCAGTGCTGCATTAAGTTCACACTGATATTTGGCAGGTATTTGTCTTTATAGATTTTTACATCTCATATTTTCAACTTCTTTCTTTAGCATGTACAGTTTAAATGTGTGTTAGTGATTTTAATAGCCATTGAAATAGTGATGAGTTACCTATAGATCATCTCAGAACCATCACAACGTTGGATGGCTATTCATAACACAAGTTGTTCAACCACAAATAGAAAACAGTACAAAATATACAGAACTATGTTGAAGCAAACTTTATTGAATGTGCTTTTAAGCTAAGACACACACAAACTCCTAAACTGAAAGTTCCTCATGTGCCCACCCTCTTCTGTGTTCTTACACTGAACAAAATTATAAACGCAACACTTTTG